GACCCATATGCAAAAGGCACCCTGTTTAGGAAGTGAGGCTTCATGGCCACAGGAAGAGCCTGGTTTTGTGATATTGGTGGAAACTCATCATAGTACCCTACACATTGAAAAGTAGGTTGTAGAGCTCTCAGGATAGAAGATTGTATAATGGGACTCAGGAAGTGTCTGTCTGGATTGTGTGACCTGCTAACCACCTGCTTGGTCTGTACTCACAGGACACATACTTACAGTACAAATTAGTCTGCAGCTGAGGGAATGCATTGGCTAACCTTCAGTTGGCAAGACCTCCCTACAAAGATCCCAGATGAAGGGTCATTGGTTATGTTTAGAACATAAGGACTAAAAAGAAATACAAACCAGGTCACTCCTCTTCTGCAGTTTAAATAACAAAACGGCTAACACACAGATGCTTTGCTGCCTCCTCCTGCTTCTTGGTACTTGGACAAAAATACCTTCCAGTTGGAGTATAGTGATGTTTATTGAAAAGGAACACATTTCAAATGGCTGTCATAGTATGTATTAGAGGTTGATTTAGGTCAGCAGTCAAGGAGAAAGAAAATACTTAGCACAGAGCAAGTTGTGTTGTCACAGAACAAAGATGGATAATAAATGGTATTATTGCCTACCAATTAATGGTCCAGGCACATTGGCAGAATAATCAAGTTCCTTCTAGCTTGGACCTCTCCTCCTGTCTTGCAGTCTTGTAAGCCTAGCTCTTCTCACAAGAGATTCCCCCATAGCTCTGCTATTGCCTCACCATCACATGGAGGAGGACAGAGCCATGATACTTAAAGATGGAAGGACTCTTAAGAACCTGGGGTCCGTGTTCTAGCCAGTTTTAATAGAAATCAGCTGGTGGAGAGCACAACCTGGATAGAAAAGGGACCCAGAGAGCAAGATGGCAGCAAAAGCCTAGTGACTGAATGTGATGGATCTGGAGGGCAATGTGACAGCTGAGAAGGGAAATTCTCCTTTTAGGCTGATGAAGCATGGGGAAACTGAGCTTTTGCTATTCTTCTGGTGAGCAAATCAGTAGAAAATAAATCGTAAAATGGGTGGCCCCACTGAGTCCCAATTAAAGTGGGACCAGTGCATCCTAACATATGAGATTATCTTAGAGTCTAGTTGAAACCCATTTAATTTCACTAATTATTTAGGTAGTGAAGAAAAAACTCATTATACATTTACGAACAAAGATTAACAGTATTATCAAGTGGTTATTTGGATGGTTTGTGAAAAGCACATGAATTGTTTGCAAAACAATGTAGCTCAAAGCACTGGAAGAGCATGCCTTTCTTAGCTTGAAGCATCATCTATGCAATCTTGGCTTTCATAACATATTTGAGGGTGGAAGTGCTTTGGCCTTGTCTGGGTATGAATTATGATATATCTTAATTTGTGATGGTGAAATTGTTGACATTTTCCCCGACTCTGTTGCTTTATTATTCAATCCTCTTATTTCAAATTACCATTTTCAGATTGGTATTGGCCCTGTCTGTGCTAGCAACACATAGGGTGCAAGCATACTCTTCCTGACAGCAATTCAAAACCATAGTTTTTGCCTTTTTTTTTTTTTTCTTCTTCTTCTTTTCTGGTGTTAAGGATTGCCCTTGGACCCTCAAATGTGCTACAAAATTGTCGCTTTTTAGTAGTTCCTCTGCAGGAATGTACCTGCTTAAAAGAGTGTAGAATAGTTAGTAGCCAATCTTCCACTTGAAGCTCCTGTCTGATTGTTATCTTGGCTCAGGTCTTGGTAGTCAGAATGAGCCAAACATCCTCAGCAGGGTAGCTGACTTATCTGTTAATATTAGAATTTACTAGTGTTCCCTCTTTTTTTTTTTTTTTTTTTTTTGACACATTGAGGTATATATACAGCAATTAGAAATTTCCTTTGTTCCACACCATATTTTACTAGGATTCTGGAGAGAAATTACTTGATGAGAACAATGCAAATTTTGTGTTTCCTTCCTATGTGGAAGGAGCAGAAATGTTGGTCCTCCTTGCAAGAGGTGGCTTCTCAGAACCAGTTCAGGTGCTATTGGCCTCTGAGGCAGAAGGCTGTGTTAAACAGAAGGTAAAAAAAGGGGGCCTGTGCCCCTAGGCTACCTGCCCATGTGCCCATCTGCTACCCTGTTCTCACATCTTAGGATATTATCAGGAAAATGCTGTCTTGGTGAATTATCAAACCTGGTAATCCTACCTCACAATAGCAAATTACCAGTATTACTTGCATTTGTGTGCTTGTTGTATTGAGGACTGTCTTCCTACAAGACTAGCTAATCTTCTAAGAGATTAGCCAGGTCATTTGTTCCAGTACCTGGAACAGGGCCTAACAAGGATTGAGGACTGTGTAGATGCTTGTTACATATGTGGAGGCATAAAAAGATATTTGGTTCACCTGTGAGTTACACCTCAAGACATTGCTGTGCTCTGACCATTTAGAAGTTACTATACTAAGGATTTCAGGTTATATATAACCCTCCAATTTAGTTCCCAGATCACTTGACTTTGGGAGGGTGGTAAGGACATTGGTGATTTTTCTTTTGAGAATTGTACAGTAAACAGTTCACAATTGGAAACTCATCTGGTTGCAAGTCTCTTCCTCATCTGAGTGAGGATTAGTGATATTCTCTGAGCTTTGGAAAGACACCAGAGTGCCCCTGTTTGAATATAGTTATATATACCTCTTCAGGTGAAGCTACCCACTGCCACTGTCACTTCAAATAACTTTTCCAAGAGTTTCTTAATCAGGGCAGATATAAAGTTACTGGAAGTGGAGTTTGTCATAAGATGCCTAAGGAAGTGAAAATGAAAGCTTACACTTAGAAAGTGTGGTTAAACTCTACCCCCTGGAATACAGTACAGGCCAGGGTACCTTTGAGTTAGAGGCAGGCCTGCTAATGTTTTCAAAGGACTTTTGCTCTGTGGGTGGTGAGGGGCTGGTAGAACACAGGGTGGGCTGTACTTCCTTTCAACCCTATGGATTTGACAAGTGCCAAGGCTGTGGGAGGGATTCCATGGTCCTCTGCTATACCCCAGCATGGCATTACCCTCTCTCCTCCCTGAAGTTTACTGACTTTCTTCTCTCTCTCCATCCCTCCTGCTTCCTGGCTGGATCCATCATAGGAACGCTTTGGGGTAACTATGTTTGTTTTGTAAGTAGAAGGTTCGGGAGACTATGTGGGAGGAGGAAGAAACTGTAATTGGAGAAGACATTAATTCAATGAGAAAGGAGTAGAGTGTTTATGTGAATGATGTGTTTCTATTGAGGGCCAAAAGCTTAAAACTGAGCAGTTTTCACACACCTTTTTGGGAAGTGACCATTCCTGTTGGTCTGGGTAGTATTTGGCCAATGTGATGTTTCTCTTAGATTAAAAAGCAAAAGAATTTATTAGATATCCTGAAGCTCTTGCATGTGAAAATCCATATTAATGTAGCATATGTGGATTACCTTTCAAAATGACAAGTCATCACCTGTGACAACCACAGAGCTTGGAATTAATACTGGTATAAAGTCAGCCTGAAGGATTAGATTCATTGACTTCATGCCTTTTGGAAAAAATAGATTATGGTTTCCATATCTAAGGCTAGGTATAGCAGGGAAAATTGCATGCAGAATCAGGTTCTCCATCTGATGTTCTGGGTCCCTTCTCCAGTGATTTTTAATATAATAGTAGTCTGGACCAGCATCAGGAATGAACCAAGCCTGTTCTCACTATTTAGAGTCTTATTTCCCAGCATGTACATTTTTTTATTTTTACTTTTGTATAAATTGTAGTTATTTGAGTTGAATGCAAAGATCTCAGGGGATGAGCAGGGAACAAAGAGAAATACAAGTTGATTTATACATTTAATTCCTAGAAATAAAAAGAGGAACACATGGTTTTCATTAAGAGAAAACATCCCTAACAGGCTGAAAAGGGAGAGTCATTACCCATAGGACCAGGATAAAGCAGGGTACGGCCCACAACTTTGCCTGCTCCAACTGAATAGTTCTCAGAAGCCTGTGATAAGTGCAGAGATTCTGAAATGGAAATGACTACAGGAAAGGCAAGCCACCCATAATTGGAGTGTGGACCAAGGCCCTGGCAAGATGCCTGTACACACATGCTTTCTCTGAAGTGGTGTCCTAGCACAGCAAGAGTGTTGGGTTCCTCCCTGGTCCTCAGTGTGTTCTTACCACACTGATGAACCATGAGAAGTACCAAACCTAGACTTCCGGATTAAGTTCCCCAATGAGACATACTCTCAACTATTCCCAAGTCAACAAATACCTTGAAAACCTGTTATGAAAATATATTAGCCTTGGCAATGTAGGATTCCACACTGGACCTCTGGTTATGGTATCTAGTTGATATTGTTTCATTTTTATTTACCATTGTGGTATTAGCATTAGACTGGCTATCAAAGATGGAACAATTATTAATATATGTTCATGGAAGCATGTGGGTGCCTGTGTACACAGATGTTCCCTCTCTTATGTTCACATCCAGGCAAACTCAATGGAAACTGAAAATTCCTTTAATAGAAATTGTATTTGTTACATTTATGGACATTTTATCAACATAACAGCATATTATTTACACTGCATAACATCAATCTTTTACATTCATGATTTTGTGGGTGACTAAGGACTACTGACTGCCCAGTCTTGCAAGAGAGTTTCTCTGTGCATAGTATTAGACTGGAGGGAAATGTGCTGAATTTGATGTAGTTTCTATTGAATGCAACTCACATTTGCACCATCTGAAGTCGTAAAACTCTAAGTTGAACTGTTGTGAGCACATGGATATGAAGATATGGGCATACACATATGGATCTGTACACTACAGAGTGATTGAGACTACTCCTGAAGCACATTTATAGATTGTCCTTGAAGGATGTTTCTGGCCTCTTGTCTTCTTCTCTGTCTTTTACTTTGTTATTTTTAATGCAGTAGTGTGGCTGCCACTTCTGTTTATCCTCTTTCCAAATGACTCCGTGGGGGCTTCTCTCTACAGAACCAACAAGGGGCGGGACATCAAGACTATCAAGTCTCTGAGGGTACTCCGAGTTCTGAGACCACTGAAAACCATCAAGCGCTTACCCAAGCTGAAGGTAACATTTTCACTGTCTGTTCCCATCCAATATTCTTCTTCCATTGTCTCCCTTTAGCCACAGCTGGCTACCCTTTGCACAATCCATTCTTAGAACTCCCCCTTTTCTTTCTTGGGGATTGAGATTCTTGACATATATTGTAGTCAAGGTCTTCCAATGCCCAAAGAAACTTGCAGGTGAGATTTTCCTTCTTCAGCTCAGACCCAGTTAGTACTATATTCCCTGGGATGGCCTGTCATTCAGGAAGAAGCCTGTATGACTTTGTCTTGGAACAACATGTGTCATTAAATTAGAAGCCACAGAATCCCTCTATATGTGTGGTGTGTGTGTGCTAAGGTAGGCTGGGTAATCTGGGATATTGTCTTAGTTAGGGTTTTTAATTGCTGTGAAGAGACATCATGGCCATAATTATTATAAATAAAATGCTTAATTGGGGTGGCTTACTTACAGTTCAGAAGTTCAGTCCATTTTCATGACAGGGAACACAGTGGAATGCAGGCAGACATGGTGTTAGAGCTGAGTGCTACATCTTGCAGGCTACAGGAAGTCAACTGACTGTCACACCTCAAAGCCACCCCCTACAGTGACATACTTCCTCCAACAAGGCTACTCATAATAGTGTCACTCCCTTTGGGGGGCATTTTTTCCAAACCACCATATTCCACTCTATGGCCCCCCAAAGGCTTATAGCCATATCACAATGTAAAACAACAACAAAATACGTTCAGCCCAACCTACCTCAAAAGTCTCCATAGACCATAAGAGTCTCAGCCTCAAACTTGTTTCAAAGTCTCTTCTGAGATGCATGACAATCACTTAACTGCAATTCTCCTATTAAAATCAGAAGGCAGATCACATAGAGAAGGGAGCATGGTGAGGAAATAATGAACCAAAACAAGACTGAAAACCAGCTGAGCGAACTTTGCATCTCCATGTCTAATGTCAAAGTGCTCTTCAGAGCTCCAGCTCTGTTTAGCTATGTTGACTGAAACAAAACTTTCTCTCTCTTGGGCTGGTTCCACTCCCTGTTAGCAGCTCTCTTTGGCAGGTATCCCATGACTCTGGCATCTCAAACATCTTGGGTTCTCCAAGGCAATCCAGGATTCAAGTTCACAGTTTCACACAATGGCCACTCTATTAGGCCTCCATTCAGGGACACCCTAACAGCAGAGGCAAATTCCATAAACTGTTTCTTCTATCCTTAATTCTAAAGCCAGAAACACATGGCCAAAGCTGCCAAATTATGTTGCTTACTGGGGCAGGAACATGCCCTCCCAACCTTGTGCAATTACATCTTCATCATCTTTCTGTCCTTCCCTGCCTAAGACGGGCTTTCCTGAGACTTGCTCTGTAGACTGGCATGGCTTCAAACTCAGAGGTCTGCCAGCCTCTTCCTTTCTAGTGCTGGAATTAAAGATGTGCCTTACCACACCCTGCTCTAAGGTTTTCTTTAGTTCCTTTTCACAGGTTGGAAACTTGGCAGGGTGGGACCTTGTCCTGAGATCACCACTCCCTATATTCCATTTCTTAATCTGTTCATCTCCTTGAACATAGAATTTAGCTCTGGTTCCTAATGCCCTTTTTTCCTCAAAGTTTATATTTTGTAATTTATACTGCTTAGCTCTCTCCTTTTCACTATAAATCTTCATTAGACTCCACTAAAAACCACACAGCAGAGTCTATACTAGGCTGTTTTGAGATCTCTTCTGCCAACGGAATGAATCCAAAACTCTTCACTTTAATCTCAGTCAGATTCTTCAGACAAGGGCAGCCACTTTCTTCACCAAAAGTATCACAAGAATGGCAACATACCAAACTACTCTGAAACTTCTTCAGTGAGCCCTGAAAGTTCAAATAACTCTTAGCACCTGTGACTTCCATGCTACTACTAGTGTGGCCCATTAATCAATGCTTAAAGCATCACAATTGCTTTCCTAATCCAAAGTACCAAAGTCCAAATTCCTCCAAACAAACACATGGTCCAGCTATCAGGCAATGCCCCAGTCCTTGGTACCAATTTCTGTCTTAGGGTTTTTATTGCTGTGAAGACATATCATGTTCACAGCAGCTCTTACAAAGAAAATATTCAAATGGGGTGGCTTGCTTACAGTTCAGAGGTTCAGGCCATTATCATCATGATGGGGAGCACAGTGGAATGCAGCAGACGTGGTGCTGGAGCTGAGTGCTACCTCTCGCAGGCTACAGGAAGTCAACTGAAAGTCATACTGAGGGAAGCTAAAGCAAGAGACCTCAAAGCCCGCCCCCACAGTGACACACTTCCTCCAACAAGGCCACCTCCTAATAGTGCCACTCCCTATGGGGGTAATTTTCTTTCAAAACATTCTACCTATTTTCTTCAGTGATAATTTTAGAAAAGTATCATCTTGCCCAAATAGTTCATATTTTTGAGGTACAAATAGGTAACTTAAAGACACGTAGTCTATTTATGGCAGAAGCAGAAGTAAAATGGGGAAGTGTGTTACCCTGGGTAAGCCCTTCCATAGTCTGGATGAAAATTAGTATTTTGTCTATACAATCCCCTTACCCTCTTGTCTAGTACCCTTCCTACCTCTCAGGGCTTGATGACCATCCAAGCTTGGCACCCTAATTGAGCTCACCCCTCTCCTCTTTCCTCTCCATATATTGTGGTTAATAGAATCTGAAGTTCTATGGGAGAAGAGCCCCTCCCCTTCCTGAGTTCTCAAGGACCATTATCTTCCAGTATAAGCTACACAGCCAGTAGAGAAAGTCTTGCCACCAGCACCCAACTCCATCCTTCTAGGATACACCAGAATGCTTCCTGAGATGCAGATTTCACTGCCCAATTGCAACATCCCAGAACCTAGCACAGGGCTTCTCAAAGAGTGGCCATAGGCCACCCATACCTGAATCATTGAAAATCTTCCTAAAATAAATACATTTTCCATATCAGCACAACAGGGCCTTGGAGAAGAGCCTGAATTGTGGCTGCTGCTGCTGCTCCTTCTTCATCTTCCTTCCTTCCTTCCTTCCTTCCTTCCTTCCTTCCTTCCTTCTCCATTCTTCCTTCCTCCTTCTTTTCAACCATGGCTTCTAAACCTGGTGAGCAGGTGACTCTGAAACAATAGTGTAGGAACTGGTCATCATGGAAAAGAACCTGCATGAGTGCCAAGTCTAACTCAAGCATTTTGGGGGCATGTGACCCAGAGCAGATTATTTATTCTCAGAATTTCTTTCACCCAGAAAATGGAAATCTGTGTAACATACAGTTGTAGCAAACAAGAAAGCTGATGTGAGTGGTCCCTAGCAAAAAAAAAAAAAAAAAAAAACAACAACAACAACAACAACAAAAACAACAACAACAAAAAAAAAAAAAAACACCAGTTTCTCTAGTGTGTCTGGGCCTGCTCTCCCATGCCTGCTATAAAAGGTAAAGCTGTGAGCTAGTTTCGGCTATTTGTACCAACTCCTATCCTTTCTCAGGTTCTCCTAATTGATAATGTGTGTCACCTGTCCCAACCACAACCCTCCTGGTCTCAGACTGTATCTGAATTTATCCTATGATCTTCATACAAAAAGCAGAACAGAGTATTGAGGGGAGTGGAGAGAAGGAGAAAAGAAGGGGAGGGGGTGGGTATTTTCTGAAGGGTCTCAGACTAGCTGTGACATGGTTTTGTCTTAGATTCAGCACACATTATGGAAGTAAATCTGTGAATATCAGGTTTAAGGTCAGGAATAAGTTGTTCAGTGGGTAGAATGATCTACGTGACCTTCAAGATCCAGCTTTAAATTTCTTGGTTTCACACTATCTACTGAAACACCACAATGCCCTCCAATTACTTTTATCATCTTGTTTAATTAAACTTCATGTTTTATATTTACTTTAAGATTCAGAGAAGATGTCTGTTTCCCAGACCAGGCCCTTGTCACCATGACAAGCTAGGAAGCCAGATTCTAATCCCATGGGCATCACTGGTTGGTGGGTGAGAGCTCCTGGGACAGTGTCTCAGCCTGTTGGCTGGTGGCATGGCCCTACCACAGCTCTGGGCATAGGAGTGTTTTGTTGATGCTGTCTACAGGCCGTGTTTGACTGTGTAGTGACCTCCTTGAAGAATGTCTTCAACATACTCATTGTCTACAAGCTCTTCATGTTCATCTTTGCCGTCATCGCCGTTCAGCTATTCAAGGGAAAGTTCTTTTATTGTACCGACAGTTCGAAGGACACAGAGAAGGAGTGCATGTAAGTGCTGCTACCATACCCCTTTCACTGTTTACAAAGGGTGTCCTGGCAAATCCCTCTCCACCTACTACATTTTACTAGGTCTCCTTTCTCTCTTAACTTCATTCTCCTTTCCATAGAAGTATAAACCAGGAAGAATTATAAATGAAATAGACATCTGTTGAACTCATTTTTTAAATATCAGCTATACTAAGAGACACTTTGCCTGAACCCTTAAGTATTAAGTCTTTCTAATGACCTATGGAGAGAGGTTTTACTTACGTTTTATAAGTATAAAAGATGATAATCAATACATGGTTATCAGTGTTTATCCTACATCCTTTGAACACCATTTTTACTCCATATTAGTACTTGCCCTTAATAAAACTTGTCCGTCCTTTTCTCAGATAGTCATTGTTACTATTCCACACAGTGTACTCAGATGCTCTATTTCATTTCTATTTTGGATTCAGAGGCAACTATGTAGATCATGAGAAAAACAAGATGGAGGTAAAGGGCCGGGAATGGAAGCGTCATGAATTCCACTACGACAACATCATCTGGGCCCTACTGACCCTCTTCACTGTCTCCACAGGGGAAGGGTGGCCTCAGTAAGTGACAGGGTAGCTTAATATGTGTCTTGCAGGCTATGTTGGGACTGTGTCGGTGCCTTGAAAAGCTAATTCAAGATGAACATGTTTAACCCTTTGTTACTGTACCAGGCAAATTAAGTGGTTGTGGGAGGATGAGAAAGGCAGAAAAGAGGAAATATAAAAATCCTTCAGACAGAGATGGATGGGGGTAGACAAACAGAACAAATGAGTTTTCACAATTTTTTACCACTCACAAGAATACCTGGGGATGTTTTAAACAGATCTATCCTTAAAGTTGGCTCTGCACCTGAGATCCTAAAGGAGGAGGGATCTTGCAGCCCCTAGAGTTGCTAACTAAGACCAGACTTTATGCTGCCAGTAGCAGAAGGCTAATTTTTTTTCAAAGACTTAACAATGAGTAAGACACCACTAGTTGGCAGCAGAAAATCAAATGATACTAGAAGTCCCTTGGTATGGAACATGACAACCTAAACTATAAGAGGATATCATCCTGTTGTTTAGGCTAGAAAGGGCACTATTTCCTTACCAGTCTGGTTATGGTCACCCAAAATCAGTGAAGGAATGGAAAAAGTCAGGGAAGACATAGCAAGAATGACAAAAGATAGGACATCTAAAAAGCCAGGCCTGTCACCCACCGTCTATACCCTTTCTTTTGGTCCTTACAGGGTCCTGCAGCATTCTGTAGATGTGACAGAGGAAGACAGAGGCCCAAGCCGCAGCAACCGCATGGAGATGTCCATCTTTTATGTGGTCTACTTTGTGGTGTTCCCTTTCTTCTTCGTCAATATCTTCGTGGCTCTCATCATCATCACCTTCCAGGAGCAAGGGGATAAGATGATGGAGGAGTGTAGCCTAGAAAAGAATGAGGTAGCAATGGGTAGACTGAAGTAAGGGATAGCAATGGGAGCTTCAGAAAATAATTGGGACACCATGCATAGAGAAAAAGACCACATTTTCCAAACTTTACTGTGGCATTAGAGTAAGAAGAGGGGAAAAGCCTTGTGGGAGGCACAGAGGCATATGCAGTCTTGGATCTGGGACTTGCACTTTTTCTGCAAGTATGAGCATCCAAGTTTGAATCCCCAGTGTCCACGTAAAAAGCTGGGTATGCTACTGGTGAGATAGCTCAGTGACTACAAGTGTTGCCAAGCCTCGTGACCTGAGTTCAGCTTCCAGGAGCAACATGATGGAAAGTACCAACTCCCACAAGTTGTCCTCTGACCTTTATATGTGCACTACGATGCGCAAGCATGTGTGCACATACACACAGCATTTTTTAAAAAGCTGGGCATGGCTGCATGTGCCTGTAACCCCAATAGCAGGACACATAGGGCTGACCAGGTAGCTTAAACTTAATGGTTAGCTTCTGGTTTGATGAGAAGTCCTGGTTCAAGGCAATAATGCAATAGGAGAAGATGCCCCATGTCCTTTTCTGACTGCCCCATGTGTGTGCATGGGCATGCTCACCTGCACAATCACATGCACATAGCCCCATGTCCTTTTCTGACTGCCCCATGTGTGTGCATAGGCATGCTCACCTGCACAATCACATGCACATACATCACACACAGACTTAAGAAAAGATAAGCATGCAATTTGAAAAAGACATGTGCCACAGTTACAACGTTAAGATGTTTGCTTACTCTCGTAGCCTCTGTGTTTCTAGCCCATACATAGGTTTCAAAGATTGCAGGGTTTTATGGTTTACTTTGTTGTTGTTTAACAATTGAGCTGAACTAGAAATAGTCATAGATTATGTGAGGAATGCATAGGTATATGCAGTTTGAACATCTCCAATATAAAAATCCATGTTTAAAATTCCAAACCATTTCAAATTATATGAAGTAGAAAATTTCATACCATGAAACTTTGTTTCATGCACAAAATTAATATTACATAAATTACCTTTAGGCTATATGGATAAGGCACATATGAAATATTAATGAATTTTGAGCTTATGCTTAGCTGAGCATCCTGCCTTCAAATATCTCATTACATTTATGTAAACATTAAAACCTCAGAAACAAATCTGATATCCCAAATTACTCTGGTCCCACATATGTCAGATAAGGGATTCTGATAAGCCATCTTAACAGAGTCTATGCAAGGTTTATGGGGAGGGTCTGGGGGTGTTGAACTGATTCTAATAACTTGACTTTCCGCAGCGGGCATGCATTGACTTCGCCATTAGTGCAAAACCCCTCACCCGCTACATGCCACAGAACAGGCACACCTTCCAGTACCGAGTGTGGCACTTTGTGGTATCTCCATCCTTTGAGTATACCATCATGGCCATGATCGCCTTGAACACTGTTGTGCTGATGATGAAGGTGAGTGTGTGTGTGTGTGTGTGTGTGTGTGTGTGTGTGGTCACTCCACCTTACTAGCCTGCCACCTTTATCTGCTCTCCCACCATCATTGATTTTTTTTACCTAGTTCAACAGCCCAGTCCCTGGATTTTGGGGTAGGGATGGGTTCATTGAATGAAATTCACAGTAACAGAGTAGCAGTAAGGGGCTTTCAGGAACAAAAGTGTCAATAGGGTCCACCTTTGACCAGGATGGAAAATGTCCTTCAGAGATCATGGAATCTAAAGGAGTGCTACAGTTAATGAAAGCCTGATTTTATTTAATGCTAAGTGCAAAAACACCTAACTCTGGAAAGTACTTCTGTCATAGCCTTTAGTCTGGGCATGAAGGTGGCTTTGCTATTGAGCTGTTTTGAGTGGGACATAGGTATGTGTTTCACTACGAATGCATTAGGGCAAGGTGAACGATGACTAGACCTGGCATGTGTATCTCACCATATACACATGCCTTAAGGCTCTGACTCTATTGTTCTGTTTTTGTTCTCCTTCCTGGCAGTACTATTCTGCTCCTTGCACCTATGAACTTGCACTAAAGTACCTGAACATTGCCTTCACCATGGTGTTTTCCCTGGAATGTGTCCTAAAGGTCATCGCTTTTGGCTTCCTGGTATGTCTGTTCTAGCATTAGGCTTGTCTTCCTTTGGGGTACATGGAGGTTACTGCTGTTCAGGAATAGTTTACCATCTTGTTCCTTTAATAGTGAGCTCAGTTTACTCAATAAACAGGCTGCCATGTGAGTAGAGTAGGAGAAAAGACAAAGGGAGCCCCTTCCTCATCTCCATACCCTCCTGACCATCTACTCTGGTCTTACTGAATTCTGTCAACAGTACAGTGGGCATCATTGGATTTTACTAGAACTACAATTGTTATATAAAGAAAGAATACACAAATTAGGTTAATAAACCTTGAGTGATTATTTCCTGGTAACATATATATGAAATTTTATAATTTAAATGATAAAATATCTTTCATAGCCTCAAACACAACAAATTGATTTTTAGCTATTAGCCTTCTGAAGGCATGAAGAGTAACTCCTGAAAATTAAAGTAAATGTTTATTATTTACATTGTCCACTTACCTTTAGGGAGTGTGGGGGGGTGGGGGCAGGGAACATTCTGAAATTGAATTTGAGAGGGATTAGAATGAATTTTTCCAGCATGAGCTCTCTTTTTACTTGGCAAATTCTTGTATCTGTTCTCAAAAATGTGAACAAAACCTGGCCTTTGCATCTATGTCCTTTAAACAAAATCAGTCCCTCCCTTTCCTCCTGTTTGCTTCAGGGTCTGCTGTGAGTTCAGTAGGGTGCAGATAAGCCCACTTGGCAGCTGTTTCACACTTACATAGGGGGTGAGCTACCCTTTCAAGTATAAGTGTTTACCAGACATGACTGCTTCCTAGCAAGAAGGGAAAACTTTGCTGCAAATCAAGATAAGTGTTTCTGGTAGTAGCTGTAACAGTGGCTCTGGGCTGCGCTTGATAATTGTCAGTGTTGATTGTGGAGGTTGATTTCAGTCTCCTTCTTCTTTATACAACCACTAATTTGATTATTTGGGGTGGAGAGTTGAAAGGAACCCATTGCAGTGGCTGCATTGTGGAATTCTTGTGTTTAGAGACTCAAGGAAATAAATAGGTAAAAAGAAACTTCTATCAAACAAAGCTGCCTATATGAAACAGTCTAGACCAAGTAGGGCGAAGTGAGAGGGGGAAAGCCAGCAGCACCACAGGGAAAGCTTCTCTATGAGTCTTGGTGTTGACATCGTCTGTAACTTAAGCCTCAATTATGTCTCTAATTACGGTGAATGCTGAATATATACTTACAGGCTTTAACTAGAGGACTCGGCCTCAAGCCCTGCCTCCTTCCCACCCTCATCCCTGTGTTTCATTCAAGGCTAGAGTAATTCACACCAGAAAAGGCACTCCATGTAAATCTGACTGTTTGGTCAGATCTCCTCATGAACTCTGACACAGGCATAGTAGATATTGCCATTGTCATCACGGTGACTGTCTTTAAATGAGAAAGTTGAAATTCATAAAATGTGGGCCTTTTTAAAGGTTATACAATAAAGTATAGAATTAGAAAATGGGTAGGAATAAAAATGGGTAGGAAAGAAAGGGGAAAATAAGCAACATTTATTGTTCTACCCAGTAAATATCCATCCAGTGCTTTACACATTCATTTTCTCTATGTAACAACTGTATAAGATAGGCTTACTTATTTTCCTTATAGATGAACTAAAGCTCAGGAAAAATAAAAATAAATACTTTATTCAAAGTTAGTGAAAGGCAGATCCAGGAGTCAGATCCTGGTCTGTCTGACCCCAGAGTTCACAATAATCTACTAGTTTATTCAGTAGCCAGGGCACATTCAAAAATCCCCAGTAGATACCTGAAAATGGGGATACTCTGATGTCTGCATATATGCTCTCATATATTGCTAAGTGATGGGATTATTTCTGAGAAACACATTATACTCTGATAAAAACATCTTAAGAGAGAATTGGTTTATCCTGGCTCACAGTTAAAGGTATCATCCATTGTGTATGGAAAGTCAACATGTCAGGAGCTTGAAGCCAATGATCACATTACATCCACAATCAGGAAGCAGATCCCATTATTTATTTATAAAGTAGCAGGATCCCAGAGCGGGGGGTGGGGGGGGAGTCTTCCCACTTAATAACACAGCCAAAATAATCCCTCAAGCATTCTCAGAAGCCCACCACCTAGGTGATTCTAGATTCTGTCAAGCTAACACTAGCATCATAAATCACAATGTTGTTAAGTGATCTTGTCATTTTGTAACTACCACAGTATGTATTTATAAACTATAATAGTTGTATATTACTATGAGACCTCCATTGTATATGTGGTGTGTCATGTGTTTTGTCCTATTAAGTTGAAAATAATCACTTAGAGAAAGCACTTAGTATCTTCTCTTTGGCATTCTATCATTTTTTTTATAGAATGTACCATTCTATATTGTAAGGCATCCTTAATTGTAACTCAAGGTTTCTAACCCTCTGAAACCCAGATCTATGAATTAGGAAGTTAACTTTGGGATGGGGAATAGGGGCACCTTGAAAACTGGGGACTTTAGGGACCCCTCTTGTCTCCCTCATTGATGAAAGTGCCTCACTGGAAAGTAAACTTGTTTACAAATTGGGCAAACCTGCTTTTCTTTATACTTTAGGAGGGTACATGTGGCTTTGGAATCAGAGCTCCCTAAACCTTAGTTTTTTTCATACAGAAAACAAGGATAACAATAGCTGTCTTAGAGTCTTAAATATGTGATCATTGAGCATAACCTCTCTCTCTCTGCACAATCCTTTATCTGTGGTGTATCTTCACTCTTCTGGCCAATCCCTCTATCTAGTACTATATAAAATGGGACATTTGGTACTAGCTAACTTTCAGACTCACAAGGGGAATAACTGAATTGAAAGAATGTCAAGGGTCTGAAATAGATGCTAAAGACAAAGTAATGGTAATTATGAAGGTAGGAAGGGGGCTCCTAAACTAGTACTCCAAAAACTTTTATGGTGCTTGATCCCCAGGGGCAAGCGGAGCAAGCCAAGTAGCCAATTTGGAGATGTGGGTGTCCTTTCTTTAAGAATGTAGTCCAAGTTCTGTGCTGAGATAAGATTGACACATCATGCATTGTGAAGCAAGTGCCATTTGGTGGAGTTTCTGGGTCTTTTATATCTCCCACATATAGTATTCAATCAATTTCCTAATTTCATGACTACTTCCCTGCTTTTTAAAAAAACTTAATTACACCTCCTCACAAGGTGTAACAGCAGAAGAGCAGTGGGGTGGGATGGAAGATGGAGTCTATTCATCCTACTGTCAATCAGTTGACAGTTGTTCTGAAAAGACTCGGTGGAGATTTGGGGCATGTCTGTAACCTTTAGTCCCATAGAGCCTCTTGTAGCAATAAAATTAGTTCATAAGTTTAAAGTTGTGTGATGCTTAAGGTTCAATGGGTGTGAACTTATCCCAAATTCCCCGAGGTATATACATTATAAATGTAAAGCTTTTTAATTATTGATCAAACTCAGTAGTATGGTTGAAAAATAAATGTTTTATAAAATATTTCTTGTGGGATTTTTAGTGACAGTTTCAAAAACATGGTCTTCAAATAGTTGTAGAACTGTTTTTAAAATGAGGATTTCCCAAATTAGTAAAGGAGAAACAGAATTCTGCATTAGAAACAGGAAACTGAGCCCAAAGTTAGAATGAACTTATGCATGAATTGACAAGTTTTAATTCCAAGTGACGTTATGTAATAAAAGATGTCTTTTTTTTTTTCCTTTTTCCATTTTCTAATGTTCACGTGACTAAATTCACTTGGCAGAACTATTTCCGAGATACCTGGAACATCTTTGACTTCATCACAGTGATTGGCAGTATCACAGAAATTATCCTGACAGACAGCAAGGTGAATGGTTCACAAGCTCCCCATATTTAAGTTGGATTCTGGAGTAGCATTAAAAAAGAATCTTCTCCACATAACAGTTCATTTATAACTCACCTGGTCGAACATGTGTCCTTTTTGTGTTGGGAATCTATTTCCTCCTTCCTGAGCATTAGCCAAAGAATGGCAAATTTGGGGGTGGTAGGTCTCATGGAAGGCTTAGTTACATTTGCCTGATTCAAATAGCAGGCATCTAATGCAGTAAGTGGAGTAGAGGCTGTTAGAAGAAAATAGTATTCAGTGTTTGGCTAAATTCCACAAGGAGAAATACAGTTGTCTTTAACCTCAAAGTTGTTAGACATGAAATGTTTCTCTAAATTAGTTCATCATAAAGAATCTTGTGGTGAACTTTCTTGTAATTACTGGATACCAGAATGCCATTGTGTGCTAGGGGATTACTAGCCCTGCTCCTTTAGCATCTAAGTGCAGAGTTTTAGTGCATTTGGTAGCAACTAGGGAAGCCAATGTTCTTCCCTTGTGTGCTGGGGTACTCCCAGTACCCATCTACCTATCAACAGAGGGGCTGGGCTGGGAGGCTCAGAGAGACTCATGGGGTGACCCTCAACTGGAGTTGGGTTAACCACGAAAGACAGAGACTGCCGTCTATTTTGTGATCTGAATAAGAAATAAATGTGAAAATACCAGTGCTTAGATCTTTCCAAATGAGCATATTGTCACTAATTACATGTTTCCTTTTGGTCCACCAGCTGGTGAACACCAGTGGCTTCAACATGAGCTTTCTGAAGCTCTTCCGAGCTGCGCGCCTCATAAAGCTCCTGCGGCAGGGCTACACCATCCGAATTTTACTGTGGACCTTTGTGCAGTCCTTTAAGGTAAGAGGCTCCCTGAGGGTGGAACCCCACCAGAAAACATGATAGCTGCATGCTCCTCCCTAGTCCCTTACTCTATTGGAAGGAGAAACTTAGAAACTTGAAGTTCACTGTAACTATAAATACAGTTGTTCCTATATAGCATAGGCTGGTTGAATAGTGTTCAATTCATATTTACATTATAGAATCTTATTCTAAAAAGTAGTATGTCACTTTGACTTTGTAACTTGAGCTTTTTCTTTTAGCACTGAGACAAGGACATGCTTTACAAAATGTGTGCTATCCTTGGACATTCTAGATTGCCCTGAGTAATCCTGTCCATACATAGACTCAACCTGTGTGACTCAAACCAGCATAACTACCCAATCTTGGACTCCAACCTCTAGAATTACGAGCCAAAACAAGCCTTCCTTTGTTTCATACAAGATTTTAATCAGTAAAGATATGCCATCAAAACTTTGTCTCAGGCCTTATCCAGAATAGATAATCAAAGTATACTTTAATGTATGAAGACATGGGTGCACATTTTCACTCTCTAATATTAATAAAAATAAAAGTATAAAATTTTAGTATGATGGGAACATTAGTTTTATGTGTTTTAAAATATTTATTTGTTGGTTTTATTGGGGGTGTGGACACTCTCACTATGTTCTGTTTTGGGTCTAGAACTTGCTATGCAACTCAGCTGGTTTCAAACATGTTCTTGAATTAAGTTAGCCTTCCATTGTCAAATATCTTCAGTGTTTTCAGGGACTTGTCTAAAGACATCTCACATCACTTGTCAGTGTTTTAATTTCATGGAGAAGTTTTTCAGAGAACTTTTTCAACTTGTACTTCATAAAAAGATGATCCATGTGCAATCTACCTGCCATCACCTGAACTACTGAATGTATGTTATGCGATTGACACACACACATCCTATAGAAATTAGAAATGTTTGGTCAAATTATTACAACAAACATTCTCAAGGGATTAGATATTAGGGTAGTTAGTTAAAAGTTGGCACCTGATAACTGTTCAATGGTAGTAATAATAAAGATAGGTGTTCAAGCTTATTTAAATTTCTTTGAGCACTATTTGGGGTATTTCTTTTCTTGTAAACAAAGTTTTTCAATTAATATATTAAAAATAAATTTGAGTGACTCAGAGATGACAAACCATAAATTCACCAAATTGTCTTCCTTCTTTTAACTATTTATATGTTTAATTAGAGTGCAGGGCAGTAAAATCATGGTATGTCATCACTTAGAAAGGGAGTTTGTTCCATATCTTCCTTCTTGATTTACTTACTGGAGTTGAGATGTTTTTAAGGATGTTCAGGCTCCAAGGTACAACCTTGGCCTTTCTACCCCACCAAGAGCCAATTGTTTGCCAGGAATATTCCCACAGAGACCTCGCCTTGGTGAACTCTAGTTTTCAAGACTTAGATGGCAGAGGAGAAATATTTAAAACCTTCAGAATTTGCCTTCTGAGTCTCAGGTGAGTTCACATTTAGAATTAGAAAGACAAGCTGCTTTTAAAACTGTTATTGTTTTTTTTAAGAGAACTGCCCATCAAACTTGAGTTGTTAGTGAGTCTAAGAAATATGTGTCACCCTGTCATGTTTTTCACATTCACTGAGTCTCTGTGACACTATGTCTTATTGAAGTTAAAAGAAGTGAAAGGAAGGGGTGTCAAAAACTGATGGCCAAATAGTTGGTGTATTCAGTGAGTACCACAGAGATGGGAAGACAAGAGAATCTGAATCCCAGTGGTACTGTATTATGGACTGATGTTTCCTCTTCTGGAAAAGCAAATTGATTAATGACAATTAAAAAAACATTAAAAACCGGTAAGCAAATACAAAGCTGAGAGATGCCCAGTGTAAATACTCTGTTATTGCCTTTACCAACTCTGATACAACCCTGGAGTTATCCAGCTCTGTCTCATGCCCCAATTCAGAATTTTACCCTTCCATTCTCTTATTTTATGTTATGATGTATGTTGTAGCAAACAAGGAGAATATGGGCTAGGAGGAGGCCCTGGGTTTAAAAGCATTTATTTCTCTTGAAGAGGACCCAGGTTTTATTCCTAGCCACCACATGGGATGGTTCACAACTACCTTAATACCCATTACAGGGGATCCAACATCCTTTGGCTTTCACAGGCACATACCTGCACACATATGGCACACATAAATATACACAAATAAATAAAAGTAACAGATAAACATTCTTTTAAAAGAAGGAAGAACAGATGAATATTTGGTTTTTTCTCTAAGGCTGAGAGTAGGAAGATGATCTGGGACTGGAGGCTTTGGGTGGAGAAGGTAGAACAAGGCCAAGCCGAATGGGTAGAAGAGGGCAGCCCTCCAGGTCAGGCCCTCTTCTTTTCCTTAGATTATGGAACTCAGCAGTCTATGGCAGAGAGGCTTCCCCATCAGCTTTCAGTTGCATTTGACTTTATCCTTTATGCAAGTTGTAAATAGTCCCTCTCGGGGCTCATCATTTTGTTAGCTCTGTTGATAAGCTCTGCCCTGATCCAGCCGTCTGAAAGCCTTTGGCTGGTCTCCTGGGACTTGTGGTGTGTACACTCATGACAAGATAGCACTAGCTGCCTAGGAGCTTACTGAATGGTAAGAAAAGGGAATTTCATGCCAGTTCTGGGATTACCACACAAGTATATTGGCCCATACTATTCCCAACTGTCCTGTGTCTCTCCCTACCCTAGAAGATCAAGGGCAAGTCTTTGCCTTCTACTCCCATATTGAAATACTGTAATTCTAAAGTGGCAGTAAGCATACACAATATGGATTTTTATTTTTTTGTCACATGGCTTCATTACAGTGTCATAATGACTCTTAGCAGACTTTGGGAGAATTTATTTGAAATACAATATAGTATTGAAAGGAACACTAGAAAAGAAAGACTACTCCAAACAGAACAGCCTCGGGACAAGAGTTCCTGCCCTTCTAGTGACTGCAGGAGCAGTGGTCTTCTGGATTAATTAGTATCTCTTGATTCCTTTGTAGGCTCTTCCCTATGTCTGCCTTCTGATTGCCATGCTTTTCTTCATCTATGCCATTATTGGGATGCAGGTGAGTGAGTACACCAGTGGCCTTATGGGACAACAACTACCTAGATTGTGTCTGGCAGGATTATGAATGAATGTCCTTGGGATTTTCACATGGGCCATGGTTTCCTAGGGATTCAGGATGGTCTGCTCTGGGGGGCTTCATATGAGGTTTTCCAATCATGCTGTTGATTTAGGAGTAGCTGGGCTTCTGTGGCTACAATAGAACTAAGGCAAAATGACACCATTGTTTTCCAAGAGAGGGATTTCCCCATTGCAAATAAGTAAGGCTTAATTATTTCTCGGGATCTTTGTTACTTGACTTAAAAGGCAGCTAGATGCCTGCCCCTCTTGTAAGCAATAGCACCAAATGCATCTATGTTAAGTTTTAACTGTCACATATCTATGCATTAAGACCTACCACTGCCCATCCTAGAGAGCTCCAAGAGCTACACTCCAACCAATTCCTACGGTATAGGGCCATGTAACTTGCTGGGCAATTCCTTGGGCTACCCATATCCTCTCCATTTTCAGAACCTGATAACAGGTCTGGTTCCCACCTGGATATTTGTGCAGATAGCTAGATGTCCACTAAACCCCAAGAAGCCAAATGCTCTTTCTGAGGATATGAGTCATTTGAGATGTATGAACTGCTTCTAGAAATAATGGGCATGCACCAATAGAGTTTCTGTTTGTCTAAGGCAGGCTTCTTTCTGACTTAAAGTCTGCAATGACTAATCACTCCAACCCCAAGAACATCGGCTGATAGTTTCCTGAAGCCAGGCAGCCTGCATGCCTTCTCAGTGGTCTCTGCCACCTGGAGCCACTGCCTCAGTTTCCAAACTTCCTGATCAACAGCCTTTCCTAGATCTCCTCCTTTTGCTCCTCTCTCCTGCCTTCTTGTCCTCCATCTTCCTCTAACTCTGTCACCAGGGAGTATTGTTCTCCAAAACCACAGTTAGATGTCCAGCCTCAAAATGTGTAAGGCCTGCTTGAGAGGCTGTGGTTTTCCTCCTCCAGGGATCTTTCAGAAGAGATGTAAAATGATGTTGGTAGCATTAGAAACAGAATTACCACAGAGGTTTACTGCTCATTTGGTAACTTCAAGACCCTAACAACTGCCTCCAAACTTTGTTCTAGAATTTATGTATTGTCAAATTGAAAGTGGGAAAGTGGGTTTAATTAAATTGTGTGTGCCTAAATTTCTGAACGACAAAATAGCTGATTCCTTCATCTTTTAGCAAAATGATTCCTTCATCTTCTAGCAAAATGATAACATTTTCCAAATCTACTGATAAGACCTATAATGATAATGCTATTTACCATTTATTTCAATTATTTGGTATGCCAGATGTGGTGCTTAATGTATGAGTTATGCAAATATACACATACAGACATAGAAAAAAGGGCAAAGTATATGATTAGTATAATAGGGAGTGATTGAGTTTCATTGTCTCCACTGATGTTTAGCAGGATTTAGGAGACTTTAAGCTTGTTCATATTCTCAGATAATTAGTTAAATAGTTGATATTGAAACCCAGCTTTACTACCATACAGCCCATGTTCTTAACTCTGTGCCTTCTTCATCCCATCAGAAGACCAAATGAAAGTATTTCTTTAACTCTTCAGTGGGAGATGGGAAGTGTTCAGTTATAAATTGTGATATCCTCAATAACTCTAATGTTACCATGTTTAGCCTCCTGTCTAAAATTTTACAGGACTATTTCCACAGAGACATGAATGCTATTACCACTGTGACTTGCTTTAGCTGCCTGTTTCTTAGCCTGGTTCAGAGACCCAATGCTATGACCAAAGCATCCACCCACCAGAATGTGTTACTAGAGAGACCAGATCCAACGTTGCCATCACAAAACAGAGCCCTACACAAACAGAAAGGCAAATGAGCAGGGAAAAGGGTAGGGGCAAGGTTATGGATAGATATAAATAGCAACAAGATTTGTCTAGAAGACAAGTCATTATTCTCCACTTTCAAAGCCTTCTCTGATGAAGACATCTTTGCAGAACAAAGAAATAACTTGTCACTGATGGGAAGGAGTTTATGGCCACAGGTTGTTAGAAGTATTGCTATAGCCTCCACTCTGTAGCTGTCTAGCAGTATGAAATCGACTACGTTACTGAATTCCACTGTGCCTTAATTCCTTTACTCAGTAGAAAAGTGAGCTAAACACAAGCAGAGTCTTCTAGTGCTTTAATTCCAAGTGAAAATGGATGTAAGCCTGCACTGTCCCACATCTTTCAGAATCGACCCTTCTTTCTCTTTCATCATCTTTAATATAGGAGATGTAGGTGATAATAGGCTAGGAGGGTGTAAAAAAAAAAAAAAAGAAACAGTGCAAAAGTTTTAAGCTGCACTACTACCATAATAAATATTCAGGGCTTGAAAATTGTCTGAGAATATTCAGAGAAGCTGTACTTTGACAATTACTATATACAAAATCACAGTGCATTCTCCAAATGCTTCATGGAGTAGCTGAGAAAAGTCATAGCCAGGACAGTTAATGATGCTTCCATGAGAGTCACAGGGTGAAAAAGTCCTGTGAACTATGCAGATGTGATAGACTGGGCATAAATTATGGATTCCTAGCTAAGGGAATGAAAAGAGGAAATTTAAACAGGCTGTGGATATACATACAACATAAGGTATGCAGGACAAAGGAGAGCTGGTGGCTTCATTGGGATTTTTAGTCACGTGTCTCTGAGGAGCCCCCTCTATTTCTTATCTGCTCTTTCTATTCTTCCCCTGCTGCCTGGCTTGCCACCTCCGTTCTGCCTGAAGACAAGTAGTATTTGGGTTTTGAAAAAACAGCACTGAGAACAAATTCCCAAAGCAGGTGTCAGTGGGAGTTGCTTGAGCAAAATAGCTGGGGGCAGAGATTGTTCCTCAATTGCACATTCTCCAAACTGTTAGGGGGAAATGTGTTCCATTTAGCATATATCAAATAAACTGAAGCATGCCAAATGCAGACTGGAAATAATCTCAGATGGCTAGGAAAGTGACCCTTGAAGTAGACAGCTGTACCTACACCGACTTGGATCAGTCCTGACCTCTGAAGCATGGGTGGAAAGAGAGAGTGTACCCTTCTCACTGGAGCATCTGGGAGTCATTATCTGAGTCTATCACCACATTCTGATGAAGACTGCTGGGTGTTGCCTCTTTTCACATAAATATCAGGGACCAAAGTCCAGCAACACATTAGCAGTTCTCTCTGTACTCTCTGTATACAGGACATCCTGTTTTTTTTTTTTTTTTTTTTTTTTTTTCTCTTCCCCCACTCCCTCCTTTCTTTTACTTTTCTTTCTTTCTGGAGCTCTGAACTAACACTAGGACTTCACATATATTTATGTTAGGGTTACATTTCTCCAGCCCTTTCTTTGCATATGTCCAATTATCCCTCATCCCTCCTACCACCTGGGCCTTGCTTTTAGCTTACATCTAAGTGATCTCTTTTGGTGAGATTTATGTTAGTTGGATGGTGTATGTATGTATACAGATGTATGTGTATTCATTTCTATTGGCTATAGATTAACATAAAAAACTTCTGAGACTTGGATCTCTTAAAAACACATACCTAAGTAATGTTCAGTTATACCTCTAGGATCTGATCTGCTTGCATATTGAAAGACAACTTCTGCTCAAACCATAAATGGCATCTTTGGAAAAATACAGATATTCCCTTCATGAATAACAAAGATGGGAAAACTCTTCTCTGTCCTCTTTTGGTGGATTGCATGGGCACCATGGAACTAAGAAGAGTCTCCAACTTAGGCATAGGAGAAACTGTGTTTATGTAGAATGACTTTAAAAGGTTTGCATTCTATCTACTGCTTGGACATTGCTAGCATTAGTCTCCTTTACTGTACAGGAGCACTGGGGAAGGTATTTAGTCTCCATGTCAGGTCAAGAACATGGTGTCTGCCATCTCTCTCCCTCTGAGTTACCTATTTCAGAGACTGCCATCAAGAAGCCCTACATGTAGCTTTACCTACTTTGCCTGTGTATCCAATGGCTATATGCTGAACATGTGACACAGCTCAATACTGCTCATTGACTTCTGTTTTCTCCACCAAGGTATTTGGAAACATAAAACTAGATGAGGAGAGCCACATCAACCGGCACAACAACTTCCGGAGTTTCTTTGGGTCCCTCATGCTGCTCTTCAGGTATCTGGATGAACGACTGTCCAAGCTGAAGATCTCATAGTCTTCGTGGGGAGAAACATCCAGAGGGAGGAAGTTGACTGGCCTCTTTGACTCTTAATTCTGCCCTGACAATCCTATTCGGATATGCAGTGGAAGGAGACCATGCCTTAACTGGCTTTGCCATGATTTAGAAATGACATCAATGTCTTTAACTCAGTAGTTAATTTGTACATTTCAACTTGTCTTCCTGGATTCTGGGAGGGGAGAGGCACATAGCTTCTGATGGGAGCAATTTCAGACCTAGAACCTTGAGTGGCTGAATTGGAGTTCTACTACTATCTCACTCTTCTCAGATTAGACCCTCAATATATGGGGAAGTAGATGGGGAGGAAGAACAAGAGAGGGGCCTTGTTGGCATTCTTCATCTCTCCATGGAAAATACTAAAAGGGCCCACAGGGTTAAGAAGGAAGCCCAGCCAGGTGATGGTGGCATGCACCTTTAATCCAAGCATTTGGGAGACAGAGGCAGGTGGAACTCGGTGAGTTCAAGACCAGCCTGATCTACAAGAGTTAGTTCCAGGACAGGCTTCAAAGCTACACAGAGCAATCCTGTCTCAAAAACACAAAAATCCCAGATCAGAAGTCCATAGATCCTATGTATGAGTGGCAATGAGGCCAAGGGATGGAACATGAAGACTTCTTCTAACAAAGATGGCTTTTTGTTCTCAGGAGTGCTACGGGGGAGGCTTGGCAGGAGATAATGCTGTCCTGTCTCGGCGAGAAGGGCTGTGAGCCTGATACCACTGCACCCTCGGGGCAGAACGAGAGTGAGCGCTGTGGCACTGACCTGGCCTACGTTTACTTTGTCTCCTTCATCTTCTTCTGCTCTTTCCTGGTGAGCAAAAGTGTGTCCTCCTCATTTGAAGTGTGCCTGGCCCTCCTGATAAATGGGAGGGAGGGGGGTCCCTGCAGTGTCTGCGAATGTTCTCCTCTGCCCCTCTCCCTTCCTGTACTTCTGCCCCTCACAAACACACACTCCAAGCTGTGGAAGGGTTCGATCATTGCCCTTGGAGTCAAGGTGCTGCTCAGAATCTGTGGGGTGACTCATTGGTTAAGATCTTTGCTGTTTCAAGGGGAAAATCCTTGTGAGACAAGATGAGAACTTAAATGTAAGAACAGAGCACCGGGGATACCGTGCCTTTTTGTCTAGTTTATTTACTAGCAAAGGCTTATATCTGTTTGGGAGGCTTTGTTTCTAACTGCTCATGGAATGGGACCTTGGAAATGTAAGCTTATAGGGTTAATATTAGGCAAATGATGATCACACACAGTGTGACTGTGATGCCATTGAGTTGGATGGCAGCTGGCAAGGTTTATGGTGTGAAAACACGATTACTTGGGGTGTTAGTGAATATGAACAGTATATGTAGAACATTCCCACTCTGGGAAGTGGCTAGAGGCCCGAAATGCCCTCCTAGCTCTTTCTTTGGGAGAAAGCATCCAGAAGTGTCTCCCCTGCCCATCAGATTAGCAGTGATATATGGAATAAATACATAAGGTGGTACCAGATCAATAAGAAGGTTACTGTGGTCCTTCTGGCCTCCCTTATGTCCCTCAGCTTCCCTGCAAATGCCATTGGCTGTATAAAGCAATTGAAACAAAGATAATGCTGCTGCTCCAAAGTGGTCAATTCCACAGCTGGACATTGGAGAGTAACTTAACTGTCTCAAGCCTGGGCATTTCTATCTTTAAGACAATCTGACAATTCAGCTTGCCAGTGTTAGCAAGGAACCTGCAGAAAACCTGTTATGCCTGACACATAGGTTAACGTATAGAGTGAACCAACTGGAGGCTTGGGGAAGCCCCCTTTTTGGCTTTGCCTTTGTTGCCATATAGCCTTGGCTGAGACATTTTCCCTTGTATGGCCTCTTTCAAATGATATAAACATGTCTTGAGAGGGCTGGAGAAATGGCTCAGTGGGTAATGGCATTTGCCGTGCAAGCATGAGAATCTGAGATTAGATTCCCAGAACCCATGTAAGAAGCTGGGTGTGACTGCACAGGCACCAGTACCGTGTGAGGAGCAGACAGGGCGTCACCAGCCTAGCTCCATGTTCAGTGAGAAACCCTGTCTCAAAGGAGTAAGACAAGAGTGATAGAGCAAAGCACTCAGTGTCCTGCTCGGGCCTCCATGTGTGTACCATCCATATACTCACCATGTGCATGTACGTACACAAGCAACTCACACTTGACTCCACAGCAGTACTATATGCACAGTGAGATAATGCATATATTTTAATATACGTGTTTTCTGTGGGTATGAGACATTTTCCAGTGAAAAAGAACACAGACACCATTTGCAAATCTGAAAGCACAATGTATAATGAAAATAACTGATAGGAACCTTAAGTTTATGCATTCACACCCTCAACCCATTTTTTATCAAATAGCTACTAAGGACTGGTATTCACCTAGACACTGTGGCAGAACTGTTAATGAGGCACAGTCTCCTTGTGGCTCCCAGTAGATAAGTAATCAGGACACAGGGCATTAATACTTATTGATAAAAAGACAAACTGGAAACAGAGAGAGGGGCACACAGATTTCTCAATTTTATCTCATATAGTTTAAGTGTTTGATGCTAAATATTTAAAAGAAACCAGAGATAAAACTGGAAAATTAATTGGAGGCTGTAATGGTACTTTTAGAATCTTGAGCTGGAGGGTGCTACATAATTCACATTAATGTTATTTTTAATGAGGCTATATTCAGTGTGAGATGACCTGCCTTCAAGTCTCAGCCCTACAGAGGACCAACTTTGTGACCTTGGGCAAGTCACACACTCTTCAGTTCAAACCAACTGCTCGGCAGAGATTTCTAATGCCCTTTTAATGTGCCAGGCCATGTGCTGGTTGCTAACAATACAGTTATAAATCAGAGATTTTCTCAAAGAGCTAATGGTAATTAAAACTTGGTCACAAAAGGATAAAACAAACAATAATTGTTAATGCATACAGCATACTGTTATAAAGGCTGGCAAATATGAACCAGTAGCAATGTTAATAGTTATTATGAACACTGATAATAAGTCCCTGGAAGGAGTGTGAAAAAAATGTATAGATACACAGAAAACATTCACAATCCAGGAAGTAGTTGAATAATTCGCTATGGCTCATATCTCAGTGGCAGAGAGGCCTGTGTTGGGTTCAGCTGTATGAAACAGTTCTCAGACAATATCAACTTAACCAGGGGGGATGTTGCTTTCATGGCAGTGAAGTCTGGAGGAAGCTGTCTGCTTGTTATGATGGCCTGATACTGCCTCATTCCTGTAACATCTAAGGAATGTCCTTGACCATAATGCTAAGACAAGTTAATTACCAGTCTTCCATTTGTATCACAGGCAAAGGTAAAGATAAAGAGGGATTTGTGGCTATTAGGAAATATCTAGCCCTCTCCATATTGCAAAGACTATTGCAATTGTAGCTCCTGTAGACTTTCTCTGTCCTGGGTACCTTGCCTACATGTCTCGCAAGCCCATGAACCCTGCCACTTAACCTAGGAAATCTATACCAGAGACTTCTATTTACTCATCTCCACAATGAATTGTTCTTTTGGGTAGGAATCTTGAATTTTAAGTGAAAGAAAGCCCAGCTAAATACAGCCTAAACAAAATGAGGTACCTCCCACTGTCGTGTCCTGGGGCAAGACAGGCTTAAGCAAGCCTTGATAGGGGGCTCAGATGACATCACTAGGACAATTCATTTTCCTTTTTCAGCTTTCTCATAAATCCTTTTGCCCTTGTGAGCTTCTTCCTGAAATGCCCATCTGATGGCTACCAGGCATCTGTAGCATTAACTGTAGACATTTTATCTTCTCATGTCCAAGAATAACAGAGAGAGGTTATTCTTTTACCCAATGCCCTTTAAGTGGCTTTTGTTAAATCCTTACTCATTGTGAGCTAAGGAAATGCAGGAATCCATGGCTGGGTGATGCTTAGGTCACAAGATAATGCCCCATTAGACTCCAGTAATAGGGACAGGCAAGGGCCTGTAGTAGAAATAATATAATCAATGGCACCTTAGGAACACAGGAGAATTGATGACTCTGGTCAATTCCTGTCTTTATTCCTGTCCTTGTGAAATGGTTTGGCCCAGGAATGAACCATTCTCTCAACCTCGTCTCCACCCTACATTCTATACCATTACCAAGGTTATTTCTAAAGACAAATATCTCTTGGTGACTCTGTTTAATCACCATTAGCAGTTCCTGCTGCCTACACAAGTCCAGACTACAGATCAGCAGACCCTATAGCCCATGGGCCAATTTGATTTGCCATCTGGTTTTGTATGGTCTATGAACTATGGTATTTTTACATTCCTAAACAAGGGAGAGACAAAAGATGGGTAATATTGTCATGGCGTGTGGAAATTATATGAAATTCAAATTTCCAAATCTATAAACGAAGCTTCCTTGGAACAACAACAAGCTATGCTTGTTGATATTTCTAATGTCTGTGGCTATTTGGGTGTTGAAATGCCAGAGCTGACTAGCTCAAACACCATATAAGAATGTCTGACTAGTTGGCTAGTCTTGATTTAAACTGTAGCTAAATGATGCTTCTATGATCTGGCATTTGGCCCTGTATGTTCTACTCTCCTTACAGACCCCTAGAATATCCCTGCTCCTAGATATGTCCGTGCACATTCTTGCTGTCTCCTCTGCCTGAGGCACTGTGTCTGTGCTTGTGCATGATCTAGTGAATATGATTTGCTCCATCATCCTTCAGTTCAAGAATCAAATGACTTTCCCAGGTTTCTTTAGCCACCAGAAATGGCTTTTATACACTGTTCTGTCTCTGCTGTCACTTGCATGCACTGCTTTCATGGCTGTGATAATTTGTAACTTTTTTCTGTTTCCAATATATTGCTGTCTTTTCTAAACACTATTTAAGAGTATTCCTATAACAAGGTCTAGTGAAGGCCTACTGTGCTAGGCATGGGGATGTATCTCTGGACTAGCACTTTGTAATCTCATATCCTAGCACCTGAGTCAGTGTGTTTGGCACGCACTGGGCACATAGTGAAGAATGGCTAAACAAGCATAGGGGATAGCAAACCCATGAACAGCGAGCTTCACGTGGTCTTTGTTTCCAGGGCTCTCTCTCACAGTACTCTTTTAGGCTCTTTTTGTGAAGTAGCATGAGGGATGGAAGCTGGAGAAGGAATGTTGCTATCTGGCCTTGACTGCCTCTAGCCTTTAATACACTGAAACCACTATTCCCTGTGCTTCCACAAGAACAATTAAATAAATCAAACAGCTAATAAAAGTGAATGGAGTATTGTGCAAATGAGAATTGGCATTAAAAAAGTGAACTAATAATGCCTACACAATGAAATGTGTAGTGTGAATAATGAAAATAAGTTGCATTTGGCAAGATCTCTTAGCTGTATCTAGTTTCCCCTAACTTTTCTCCTTGCCCTTCAGATGCTCAACCTGTTCGTGGCTGTCATCATGGACAACTTTGAGTACCTGACTCGAGATTCCTCTATCCTGGGGCCTCACCACTTGGATGAGTTTGTCCGTGTCTGGGCAGAGTATGACAGAGCAGCATGGTGCGTAGGCCTCTAGGCCACCTAGAGATCAGGGGGTCTTCTGGATTGGGGTCACTCAAATACTTGCCCATTATGAAAGGGAAGGAAACACCTCTTGGTTGTAGCTCACGGAAGAACCACTGGTATCAAGCCATTCGCCACAGTCTTTTTCTTCCTGGGCTTCCTGTATCCCTACTTTCCTTCTGTGGCAAGCTGTACCTTTGCCAATCTCCTTATACCTCAGATTGACTTCACAACCAGGGGAGCGTCTCACCTCCTCTTTTTCTAGCTATGAGTTAGCAGAGGCTGAGACGGGGGGTTCTGGGCCAGTGGGACATATCTGGCCACCACGGTTAGTGACACTGGAGCTTCTCCTCCTCATTCCTCTTAATAGATATAGATGAATAAAACTATGATAATTACATTTCATATAATCAAACAAGTGGTCCTTCTAAGTGTTACCCTGTACACTTGTGAGGTTCTGTCACATGGGACTGAGTTAAATGGCAGGAGCTGGCAGGACTGACTTCTTTGCTGTCCTTCACTGTCTAGCAGTTCTAATGTGACATGGCATCTAAACTTCAGAGCAGGGGTCAGCAAATCCCCACCTGTCAATTAAGTTTGCCTCACTGCTTTTACAAATACGGTTGTTATAAAGGCACAGTTACAGCCATTCATTTTATCTATCATCTGTGGCTGTTCTTGCCCTATAGGGAATAATGGTAATAAAGGTGGTATGGTCCTCCAGCTCAAAATGTTTACTATTAAAGAATTGTTAAAAACTTCACTGATAAACAAGTCTCCTGACCCCTGCTTCAGGAAAAAAGACAGTGTTCCAGCCCTTGCTGTTGAGGACAGGAAGTAGTCTATGAATGAAAAGCATCACTGGCCTGGCCAGGTCAACTTAGCTTCTGGGTCTTCACTCACCATTCTACCCATTCTGGTCCCCCTCTGAAAACACTCCAGGAAATGCCATCCTTCCCAGGAGTGGACCATGTTGCTTCCACCTGACTTTCCCTTCATAGTGTGAGCTACTGACCTGTGAAGCTGTTAAGCCTGAGTTAACTGTTTTCAGGGTGGATGGGTGAATTGCGATTCCTTTCCCCTGTGTAATAGTAAGCCGGGGCACAGAGTTATATAAACCCCTTCCTGTTACAGTGGTCAAACTCTAGATTTTCCTTGCTGAACTCAGTCTCCAGCACAGGGTAACCTACAGTATCTTGGAGGAAAATGATGCTAGGACTGAAACTTATCCATTCCCTCACTTTGGACAAATCATGTAACCATCTATCAAGTGATGGCGATGACGCCTACCTAACCTGGAGTGTGTTTGTGATCATGTTATTATATCATGCACTCTATTGTTTGGGAAACTGACAAGTGGTATGTGAATGCAATGTGGAAAAAGGAGATTCACCACAGATAAAGCATGGCTGGTTTGATGTTGGATGTCTAGTCACTCACCTGACTGAAAAGACACTATCTGCTTTCAAAGGAGGGCACAGCTCATCCAGCCTCACTGAGGTATCCCTGAATCACGGACCCATGGCTTCCAAATGCCAAGCGTGTTAAAGATGTTCCTTCTTTGTTTCAGCTACTGAGAAGAAGTTCCAACAGGACTAATCGTAAGATTTAGTCATGTGAACTTAACAAAAAGACAAAGAGAAACCCCTTCTGTCATTTTGAATGTCTAGAGAAGTAATACTTGTTCTGGTTACAACTTAATTGGCTTCCTTGGTAGAACAAGATTGTTGAGAAGAAATCAATGAAAGTACATGAGAACTGGCAACAGGTTGTAGAGAACATTAGTCTATTGTCACTTATAAGCTCCCTGATTACTACTCTGAGAAGCACAAATAAATTGACACATGGTTACCTTACATTCTTTTAAGGATAAGACAGTAGGGCATACTGGTGAGCTACAGTCTAGAAGAATTCAGAAGAAATCAGCATCAAGTCAGGAAAAGGCTAGAAAGGGTGAAGCTGGAGAAAATATTAGCTTGCTATAGCTGCTCCAAAGGATGCTCAGATGGAGATAATGTGCTCATAGTTTCTGTGGAAAACTCTGACCTGGTCCAAGCTGTGACTTCAGATCCCACCATGGCTCCCTTGTTTGATCCCTCACAGGGAGGTGTTTTAACCACCGAGAATTAATCTGCTGTCAATTTTGCCCTTTCCAATGAGAAGCCAGAAGGCTCTAGAAGACTCCTGGAAGACAAGGCCATCAAACAAAGGTCACAGTATTCCTGGAATCCTGCAGGATCAAATCTAGATCTTGAGTAGTGGATATGGAGCTGCAGAGGAATGTTTCTGGGGCTTTCTCCCACATTGCTCTGTGGACATGGATCCCAGCAGGCTCCTGTGGAATGGAGCAGAGCTTACCCAAGCTGAACTCAGGATAATCTGTTACACAGAGAACCAAAGCCTTTTCAAATTCTCACATGGCAACATTGTCTCTTGCTAAAGAGCCTAGTGGGAAATCTGTCTCTCACAGTCTACAGAAAAATGCTGAATGTCCCCAACATGTGGTCGTGACTGATTATAATCAGTATGGGTGTGACAGCAAAGAGTTCTGTAGTCCACATGTGGGCAACCTGACACCTCTCTGGACAATGGTCAGAAACACACTGGCTATCTTTTTGCACTTAGAATCCTAGCTAGGGCTGGGGCTACTCAGGCAAGATGTGAGCCACATAGGTTATTTCTGGGCACTGGAGGCATTAGGTAGTTCTTTTTCAAATAGATGGACTTTAATTTCCCATGAAATTGGGACAGTAGTTTGGCAAGGCAATGGTTCTTTGGGGCTTATTGTTCTTGTCTAAATCTTGCAAACACCAACAAACTACTCATACCTCTTTTGGGCAGTCCCTTCAGGGAGAAGCCATCATTTCATCCCCACCCTCTTCTGAGTATCTTATTAACCCACCTGTGCTTCTTTTTACAGCGGCAGGATCCCGTATAAGGATATGTACAAATTAGTGCGGGTGATCTCACCTCCTCTGGGCCTGGGAGAGAACTGCCCCTACAGGGTGGCTTGCAAGGTTTGCCTCCCAGTCCTCAGCCATGACCTGCAGTGGGATGCAGCATCTAACCCTCTCCGCCCTCTGCTCCACCACCACTGCGCCTCATGAGGGAACCTTCATGTTGCTTTTGTTTGAGTTTAAAGAGGCCCAAACCCTCCCAGAGCCGGCAGCTGCTATGTGGGAAGAAGGGCACACTTTGTGGTGAAGGCAGGAGACTCAAAGACAATGCAAAGGCCACTATAGTTTTTTCACACACATACCCTTATGCATGCGAACACACTCATACACACACCCCAGTTTATCTTAGCCTGTATCTCTTACCAAAGGACCTCTCCCTTCTCCTCCCAAATGCAGAAATTCTTTATTCAAGCAAAGAGTTCTGGTTTCCCTGAACTGGAGCTTCACTTTCATTAAACTACACAAGCCAAATGTAAGTCTAGCCATCCTTACCCTTACCATGCCTCACAGATCCTGGGTGTTTTTTCCAGGGTCGACAGTAGAAGCTATAGGACAGAGAGGAAGAGGCAACAGAGAATGGGGACAATGGGAGACAGTACTCTAAAAAAGCACGGATATGAGGGTCCTTACAGAATTTCACAGCATAAGAGTCTAAAATGACCTCAGCAGACACCGAAGGACCTTGAACAGATTACTTGCCATAGGTTCCTGCCAGACACACTTGTAAAGGGCCTACTATAATTTTCAGGTCACTACTTGTTGGCTAGACCATAAGTTCAAAGATACAAGTTTGATCTCTGCCATACCCTGGATACTCAGTATCCTAGCCACTCTACCAATCCCAAGACCGCTAGATAAGGAGCCTGCTTCAGGTGCTGTAGGAGGAAAGCAAAGCACTGCTCCGGCAGTGGGAGAAGACACAGGCTCAGGAAGGATGTCTACCTAGTTGATGGATGGAGCGGATTTGGGATGGTGACACTGATGCTGAGACTCTTTAAACTCCACCCTAGAAAAACCTACAGCCGCATGTGGGAGAGCTGGGGAGGGTAGCATGGCATGCAAGATGCTCTTCCTCCTCCTGGTTTTGTTTCTCCTGTCCCCAGCATGCCATCAACCCTGGTGCATGCTGGGGAATAAAGAGCACTCTTGTTCACAGAGCCAGGTGGAAGCAACAGGGCCGACTTTCTGACCAGCCACCTCAGGCCACCACTTTCAACGCAAGCCGCCGCCTCCCGCTGCACACACACCCACCACACAGGGGGGGATACACGACGTTCTGCCTGTGGGTTCAGGGCAGGGGACGGGCCTGACTTCTGGGCCAGCATCCCAGCCCCAGTAGGGGCCAGAAATTCCCACCCACGGCTGGAGCACCGTCTATCCGGTTTATACCGCTCATGCACAGCCCTGGGAATCGAAGAACATGTTTGTGTTACTTTGGGGGTAGATGCAGTGAACTACGAAGCCAGTGCAGCATGAACCAAGGAGGAGAAAGTGAGCCCCCCACCCCCACCCTAATCAGCACCTTCTGACAGTGTCAGAGGGACCAGAGGTTGTGACTAGCGTTCCCGGGTCTGTGTGGGGCGTGATATAAATCTGCACCAGGACGGAGTCACTTGTATGAGTTGCCTTGATTAACAGGTTTCCTGTTCTTTTCCTGTTTGTCCATTTGTTTTGTTTTTCTTCTGTTTCCTGTATTAATTTGTTTTGGCTCTCTGGGAATGCTGTTCCTCTCTCCTACCTGCATCCTCCCCTCCACCAACCACTTTTTCCTCTCCCTGCCGCCCCTCCTGCCCTGCCCATCTCCTACTCCCACTTCCCACCCCCATGCGCAGTGGCCGCATCCATTACACTGAGATGTATGAAATGCTGACTCTCATGTCACCACCGCTAGGCCTCGGCAAGAGATGTCCCTCCAAGGTGGCCTATAAGGTAGACAACCCCTTCCTTTGTTCTGGGCTAGAGACCAACAGAAAATGGGATCCAGTTGTGGGAGGACAGAATATGGGAGGAAGCTGGGTTGGGGAGGTGGAGCTGGGAATAAAGGATTAAAGAGTCAGGAAGGGTCATGAAGATGGAGTCATAAAGGATACAGGAGTGTTTCTAGTGCTGTTCACCGTGGACCGTTGACTGTGCTACTGTGTTTCTACACGTGTATGGCTTCTTGTGAGTGGGCTACCAGAAAGGCGCTGCTAAGTGGTGTGTTTCCTTTTAAAGGAGGCAGAGTGGTGGCCAGGGAAATAGCTGGATGGGCAAACAGGAAGCCTATGTAACAAAAGAGCCAGTAAAGCTTACTGAGAAAGAAATGGCTTCACTCATATAAATTAGGGAGATAATGAACTATCCCAAAGGGATTGTTCCAGAAGAAAATTTTAGAAGGAAAACCCCTAACAAATATCCTCCCCCTGTGATGTAGGAATGAACAATGGCATAGCTTCTTTCTAGAGACAAACACAAAAGAGGAACAATACTTCTTCACTCTCATGACTAAAAGGAATGTAGCTCCCCCCACCATTGGCCAACTACCCAGTGCCCTTGAAGAGGGCAACGATGGACACAAGATGTGTTGATGTGTTCAGTATCAGCTTTGCCTTCTTAGCATGACCAAGGGGTGGGTAGATTCCTTGGGGTCATAGAGCAGCAGCCTCCACTGGGAGTCATTAGCATGCTCATAGCTTTGGGACCAGGAGTTTCCTTCACCTATCAGTAATAATTACTGTTAGCTCCCTTGTGTTGTCTAGACTGGCCAAGAACTCTGAAGCTTTTTAATTCCCCTAAGCATACATCCCAGTAATGTTACCACCTCTACAGAAGTAGGAGAGCTGAGACTCAGATACAAACAAGACAACCTTTACATACTGTGTGTCTGTGGAGTTGCTTTTTTTAGGCAAGATGATTCACCTGAGTACTAGAGCGTGTGCTCCAATCACTACCAACCTCTACTCCCAACCACTACCCACAGATGATGGTTCCACCATAGACCCTTCTGGTGCTCTCTCCAAATTGTATTTCTCCAGAGAATATCATACTGGAATGCAGTCCTTAGGAACCCTCCTCCAGTGATGATGGCCCCTTTTACACAGCACAGGGAAAATGGTATCTTTTCTGATATCCATAAGTACCACACTTGACTTTCTGGGATGAGGCTTGATAGAATGAATTGGGAGTGGAGTGGGAGGAGAGTTTTATAGAATTCTAAAAGCAAGATACTCTCTGGAAAGTGGATTTGGCCATTTCAGTTGGATCCCTTCCTCTGGGTGAGGGAAACAGGGCCTGCCCACTCTGCTCCTGCCTGTACCCCCTTCTCTCACTCTGTCTTCCCTGCTTTCCTCATCCGCCTTCCCCTAGAGCCTGTTTGCACTCTTCCCCGCGCCCCACCCATCCTGCTCCTCCTCAGCCGCTGGATACAAGTTGGACTTTCTGCATGTTCAGTCTTGTGCTGGCAAATCCCATCTTATAAAGACTCAAAAAGGGGGCACCAGGATCCATCTTTCAAGTTAGATAAACATGGCCGATTCTCTCCCTATCTTTCCATTGAGTTTGGCGTTGTTCATGGGCCAAGTAGAAAGCCAGAGCCCCCAGAGCAGGGAGTGGAGCCACCTCCCAGAGCTGACTGCCTTCCCTGGGCCCCTTCTTGAAGTCACTGCTCACCCTATGGGAGATAGTCCTAGCCCTCCCCATGGGAAGCGGCTCTGTAGAACGATTAGGGAACCCCCTTGCCTTGGAATTTGGCATCATTCTGTAGATGACATAGCAACAAATGAGCTTTGAGTGAGAAGTAGGGAGAACCAGCCTGGGGTGGGATGGGGAATCCTTGCCCTTCTTTTTTGTCTGTGCATTTGACCTCTGCACTTTGCTTCCTTTTTTTTTTTTTTTTTAAATTTTTAAACCAAGGTGTCTTTCGATATATTTGCTTTTTGCCTGCTCTTTCTCTTTTCTCTTTCACACAGAGGTTGGTCCTGATGAACATGCCAGTGGCTGAGGACATGACAGTCCACTTCACTTCCACACTTATGGCTCTGATCCGGACAGCTTTGGACATTAAAATTGCCAAAGGTCAGATTAGTAGGGGAGGGGAGACTATTACAAGCTGCGCAGCTGCTGTAGGATGAAGCCAGCTGAACTAGTCTAGCCAGCCATGTGCCCAGTAATGCAGTGACCTGATTTCACCTCTGACTCAGTGACTTTCAGGCTTGGCCTTTCTCTGGTAAAATAAATGATTTGATATTCCATGCCTGACATGTACTAGCATTCTAGAAATAATTATCTTTCCCATGGAGCATCTTTTCACGAAACTCTTGGGAAGCTTCTATAGCAGGTGCCAGCAGAGTGTCCACTCTGTCCGTTATGACTGCTAACTCAGTGGTCTGGGAGAGAAGCAGTCTATGACAGCTATAGGGACCTTTCAGTCTGCCTTCCCCTGCCTTTTTAAAAGTCAGATCGCTTAGACTGTGTAGTTAGGGTCAATGGAAGGGATGATGTGTATTGATGAGGCAGGAGTTCTCTTTATGGCTGCCTTCATTTCCCCTTCTGATGTATTGAGCACCTAGGAGGCTGTTAGGACGAGGAAGCTAGTCTTGGTCTCAGCCTCAGATCATGGGAAGACTATACCTCAATCACTTAAAATAGGAGCCAAAGTGTATTCTGCTTCCTCAGCAGAAATGCTGGCGTTGACAGATCTACTGTCACTCAGTGCCGAGATTTCCTCTCATCATTTGAGGTGCCATGCTGATTCAGCTCCTGCCCCTACCTACTGCTCAGTCTTCATTATTCTGTGTCAGTTCTGATTGGGTTATTAATAATTTATCTTATTCTAGGTGGTGCAGACAGACAGCAGCTAGACTCAGAACTACAAAAAGAAACCCTGGCCATTTGGCCTCACCTGTCCCAGAAGATGCTGGATCTACTTGTGCCCATGCCCAAAGGTGTGCTGGCTCCTCCTTCCAATTGTGCTTGTCACTGTGGCCCAGCATGCCAAGGCCACCTCTTTTAGGGAAAGCAGGATGATCAAGGAGATAAAGGAAGATCACTCCTTTACCATTAGAAAGCTAAGTGTTTACTTCTAAAGTACAATTATTCATAATTAATTGAAACTAACTTCTTAAGGTGGGTGGTCACTGTGGTTGTGAATGGAACTTTCTGGATATGTAGCTCCCCCCTCCACATGAGACTGTTCTGTGAGCCCTCATGCAGTTGGGGAAATGTATTGCTACTTGGACATGAACATCTGGAGTCATAGGAGGTGGTGCTTACTAATGTATTTTGTACCATCCGATACTGTGAGCACTACCGTCACTGCGAGGATCTGTTCACTTTGTGTCTTCAGAGCTTAATAAACGTTAGCTGAATCAGTGACTGGGAGTACAAAGCTGCTTTGGGGAGTGGGTAAGGAAGCTTATGCCCACCTGCATCCTCTCTGTTCACACCTATGCTCCACTTGTGGTTTTAGCCTCTGACCTGACAGTGGGCAAAATCTATGCAGCAATGATGATTATGGACTACTATAAACAGAGCAAGGTGAAGAAGCAGAGGCAGCAGCTGGAGGAACAGGTGAGGAGCAGCAGTGGCATACTGGGTGGGTCTCTATGAGGAGCAGCAGTGGCATTATTAGGTGGGTATCTATAAGGACAGGCTGCATGTATCCCTATAAAGTACCCTAAAAGGTGGTAAGGGCTTTGGGGATCCAAGAAATTTCTAGTGCTGTGGGAACATAAACCCAGTGAATTAAAAGGTCAAGACAGTCAAACCAGGAGCCAATCCCATTTCTTTGTTACTCGTGTAAATTGTGATTTTCTCATAGTGGTCCCCACAAAGTCATGGGGATTTCTTTGCTTCGATACAGAAAAATGCACCCATGTTCCAGCGCATGGAGCCCTCATCACTGCCTCAGGAGATCATTGCTAATGCCAAAGCCCTGCCGTATCTCCAGCAGGACCCTGCTCCAGGCCTGTGAGTAAAACCAAAGAGTCCAAAGGACTCCTACGTGCATCCTGTCACCATTGTAAAAAGCCCAGAAATTCAGTCCCTTTTCTTAGGCTATTTCAGAATGGCTCCTCAGCAGGTGTAGGAGAAAAGTGAATCAAGCATGCATAGTACTGCAACCAACATCAGGACAGTAGATGGAGTGTCAGGCCAGTAGCAGAAGGCACTGACTCATGTTATCATACACTGGCACCTTAGCTATAGTTCTGTTGTGAAGAATTACCATCTCTCAATGCTTGGTGTCTCCTCTCAATGGATCCAGTGTCGTCTACTCTGCAATTGATGAGCATAAAGGGAAAAGGGAAGCAACAGTCACCAGATTCTTTGTTCTTGGATGATAGTTCTGGAATACTATTTGCTTATCTCAGTTGATTCTGCTGTACCATGATGGAGAGAGAGAGAGAGATCACCACTTTTACCAATGAACAGACAGGGATTATGACTGGAAATAGAACCTTGATTTAAAAAAGAAATCAGTTATTTCTGACTCTAGTGGCTTTCTACATCTTATTTTCTCTCATGATCAAAAATGACATTGCAAACAGAATTAAAAATCAAAACCCTAATGTAATAATCTCTAGCCAAGTTCTATCTGCAAGTCGGCTGTTAGTCATAACATATATGTCTCATTATGTCATTGTTTTCTTGTCATCGCTAAGTGGGGAGTGGGAACCAAAGAATGCAGGCACCTCTACTCATTGGAAATGTATTTGTGTGTGTGGCAGGGTTGGGTTTAAATAAGCCTTCCTTATAGAACCAGTAATCACTAAGAAGTACAATTGCACCAATGATCAGGAAAATGATATCCAGGGCTCGGGAATGAGACTTCCATTGCAACACACTATTTGGAATTGCTCAAACCATTCATTTCTTTCAGACTATGATATGAGAGGTTTTTTTCTCTGCAAAGCATTTTCTGAGTTCATAATCTAAAATATGGATTATTTGGTGTGGTCAGAGGGGAGTATATGGATGCCCTGACCCCCCAGAAAACATGTAGATATTCATTTTATTGCTCTTTGGAGGAGAGAGGCAAGAAGGTATGACTACAGAAAAGGCATGTCCTCACTGCAAGGGTTTGCTCTATTTTTTTCATGAGTCCTTGGTCTATTAGTGGAAGATACCCATTTTGCCCCTCATCTAGATCTGTTTTGTCTAGAGTTTTCTACAAAACTAAACCCATTATCATGGAATCACTTAGCCCTTCTCCTATATGTTTACAGAGTCAGTTATTCACTGATTTTTACCAATATTTACTGAGAACAAATTTGGCCTAAGCATTGGCTCAGGCACTGGAGATACTGGTGAGCAGGTCATAGTCCCCAGGGACACAAATCAGGAAAAGAGAACTTATAAGAGTGATCACTTAAACATATCAGGTAGGCAATTGTGATGTCATGGAAATGAAGCTCCCCTTACCTAGTTTGAGAGCTTGGTGTGGGGTCGTAGGAGTTCCTCAAGGAAGAAACAGAGACCCAAAAGCAAGCTCTTCAAAAGGTGAGAATATGGTAAGGTAAAACACCCATGATTATACTGCTGGTTTGGAGAGCTACACAGAGGCCATGCTTAGAGGGCATTGTAAGGTATGTTAAAGAAATTACATTTTTGTCTTAAAATGATGGGGCTTTATGTTTCAGAGTGACATGATTAGATTAGATTGAATTTTCAAAACTCATTTATGAATTCAGTGTAGACTAAATAGTTCAGAGGAAAAAATTCTAGAGATGACATCATTTAGTAGCTTGCTGCAGTTATATAAATTATCAATGGCAGTGGCTTAGACAACCAGGCTAAACATGAGAAGTGGGTATGCAAGGTATTTAATATGGAAAAAAAGATTTAGGAATAGGTTTGCTATGTAAAGTGAAGGAGGGACAGGAATGAAGATGACCCACGCGCTTACAGTTTAAATCTTTGGGTAGATATTGCAATAGGTCTGCTCTTCAGGACCATGTGTTTTGAAAGCCAGGCATTAATTATAGAGATTGCTCTGAGGTTACAATGGTGACCATGGTCGATAGAGCCCTCTTTCCCCCACACACCAAGTAATCCTGCATAAAGGTAAGCCAGGCTTTAAATGGGAAAGATGGTAGGGGGAAAAGTTGTGGTTTTCAAGTACAATTGTGATAGATTCCAGAAGGAAAAATAGTAGCATGATATGAAGGCATGTAAGAAAGTTCTGAGAGCTTAAGATCTTGGAGATCAAGCATATTTTAAGGAAATAACTTTTGGTAAGGAAAGTCCAAAGTGTATGGAATGAGTTTTGTGGGGAGCAGATATATCGTATACTCTAGGAACAACCTATATTAAAGTCTTAAGCAGAAAAAGAAAGTGTGGTTATTACTACTTTCAACAAACTTAAAACAGCCTATACATGGGACTCTGGGAGCAAAGGAAAGCCAAAGGAGGCTGGTGATGTAGGTACAAGAGCCTAGAAGAGGCCATGTCCTGTATTTTGAACATTATCTTAAAAACAAGAACCTTCACAAGGTTTTTAAAGTAGGTTATCACTCAGTTCAAATTATTTAACACTGTGAAGTTGTAGTGTGATTCCAAGGGCCCTTTCTAACAAAATAACTCAGACTAGCAGTTTATAAAGAATAGAATTACTTGGATGATAATGCTGGGTCTTGGGAAGTCCAAAAGCATGATGCCTGTGTCAGGTGAGGACCTTTTATCATGTGTGTGGGATGAGACAGGATATAGGTTTGCTAACTTAGATGTTTGGGCCTTTATTTGTGATAAAGAAAGTAATGTAGCATGGGGGCTTCACCTTCATGAACTCATCAAATCCTAATTATCTTCCAAATGATCTACTTTAACATTGACACACAATTTTAGCAATGAAATTTCAACACATGAACTTTTGGGAACCCATTGAAACTACAGAAGGTCTTCTCCACCTCCACCTATTGAAGAGTTAATTATTCCCTGTGGAACTAATTGGGGTCCATCTTCTGTATACTTGCATTGTCCATCTTGTTCCCTTGGTTTTCATGAGAAGGTACATGAATGAATGAATGACATTTAGACAAGTAATTTAAATATGAGATGACTCCATGGGAGTTGTAAAACTCAGCTAACACTCACTGGCAGGGAACCCATCAGCTGATTCTGTAGCATTAAAAGAGAAGGTTTGAATAGCAATCTAGTAAGATTGTACCTACAGGTTATTTAAAGTAACTGGTAATTCTTGCTCACTGCTCTAATTTCCTATGGGATACAGAGTCCTCTGATACTTGGAAAGATGGTGTATCATCTTACAGTCTACAACTGCATCGTCCTGGTCTCTTGCCCCTCTTCCCATAGTCACAAGAGCCCTGTCACACTTTTGGTTAGGATGATGGAATCTGTTACCCCACTGATAGCAGTGAAGGGCAGCAGAAGCCAATTTTGTAGGAAACATCAACTGTCTTCACCAACACCATGAATATGATTGTACAGGAATAGCTGAACCAAACAATCTACCATGCTACTCTCCATACCTTTCACTTGGCAGGCTTTGCATTTGTCCCTACCTCATCACCATTTAAACATCCCCCCACAGAGCAGTCAACCCAAGAGACTTTGCTTCTCAACCACCACCTCTGAAATTATCTTCCAGTTCATGAGGCAACAGATACAGTGACCAGTACAGAGAAACCCATTAGTAAATGTTCGTGGAACTGAATTGAATGGAGTTGAGTTTAGCCATGGATACTGCACAATAAAACCAATTTACTGAGAGTGGAGTGACGTTTTTTTCAAGACTATGACTGCTTAATATTTAAACAAGCTGTTCACTGTTTAAACTCTGGCATTTTTCTGCCCAATGGGGAAACTCAACAGAAACAGGTTTACAATCTAGCACTGGTCTTCCATATGGCTGAGTGTGACAAATGATGTCATTTGTCACATATATGCTGGTCGCCAGCAGAATGATGAATGATTCCAAGTGCAGGTTGAAAACACTAGTTTCTATGTTTTCTTATGCTTTATTAAACATCTTCTGTTATAAGACCAGCCACATGCAAGTTAATAGACTTATAGACCAGCCAAGAATACAGGGTGCTGCTCTTGGAATGAGTAAGGTCTTCTGTGGGATGGGATTTGGTAGTAGAAGTTATGGCATGATTATTTCTCTTACCTCTGAATTTGACATTGCTTTTCAGGAGTGGTCGGAGTGGATACCCTTCAATGAGTCCACTCTCCCCCCAAGAAATATTCCAGTTGGCTTGTATGGATCCAGCTGATGATGGACAATTCCAGGAACAGCAATCTCTGGTGAATGAATGAGTCTATGACCTCAGAAGTTTCCCTGATCCCTCTCACTCTTATTTTTCAGTCCTTTCTTACCCACTTTCTCATGTTTACTGGTAATGCTCCTTCTAAAGGTTTTATAGTCACAGAGACTCTTCCTTCCTGTAGGACTTTGTTTCTTTAGGCCATGCTCTTTTAATTTATAAAATTTTAGAGCAATAACATGCATAAAATCTTGCCTATGATAGATAGCAAGCTTTAAGACATTCTCATAGAATGAATGGTTCCTGCCCATATTATATAGCATACTACCAAGTGCTGCTTATGGGAATATAGGAATGCCCTGAGCATCCTTGAGTGAAGTCCACCTCCTGTAATACCAAGTGGCTGCATCTGCAACAATGACCATCTGTCTGCCAGGACACATAGAAGACATCACCATTTTTGCTCTGTGTGGGTTTTGGCAGATTTTTTCCCCTTCAGTTATAATTCTATAAGGCCATATACATTCAAAAAAAAAAAACCCTAAAGTCATTTTCCTGAACCCAAGATAAGTCTAGATAGTAAAATTTCTGAAAACCCTAACGAGTCAAGGTCAACCTTGAAGAAGAGAGTACCAGTTAAAATTTTGGTTTTACTACTGCAAAAGGAAAACTGAATTGCCAAACTAATCTATTTTGCCATTATTTCTAGTTTGGAAGCCACAAGTTCCAAGTTTCCTCCCAGGCTTAATTGGATTGGAGACAGCAAAACAAAACCTAGTTTTTCACATGTCTGTACAGTCAGCACAAAGGGAGCTGAGCCTCATTATGGTTCATAGGTGACTTTTTCCTCTCTTTGTCTCACAAGCCAATCTTGCCACTACCATATATCCCAGTGCCTTGCCAAATGGGTGGTGTGTGTGTGTGTGTGTGTGTGTGTGTGGGTTCTCTACCAAGAGGAGTGGTTTGACTAGGTAATTCTGTCTTCTCTAGTTGCTGAAATAGAAGATCATATTGGGAAGACAGCAAGGTCACATAACCCTGGAACACTGAACAACTGCCCAAGGGTGTTCTTAATAATTACCCTCTTCCCTCAACTGTTATAGCATTAAAACCTAGGAACTAAGTTAGTGTGGATAGTCTGATTCAGAAAATTCCTCTCAGCATTTTAAGCCTTGCCAACATATTGATAGGTGTGGTGGGAAAAATCTCAATAATGTATCTTTTTTCCCCCCAAGGGACACTTCACTACCTTATCATTTGTGTGAGTTTCCTCCGGGCTGAGTTGTAGTGCCAGAACTTTTTGGATTTGTGTTCATCTTGTCAGTGCTGGTGTCTGTAATTTAATTCAGGTGTCAGCCATGCAACACACTCACCACTGTGTACTTCTGACCATCCCTCTGGGTCCCTGCTCCATGTCCTGAGGCGTGGCCATGATTTGTGTATGTGCATATGGAGTATGTCTCACTGCCTCTGGCACTTGTAGACTTCAATGTCATTACTGCATCTGTTTGAAACTGGAATTGTGTGCCATATTGTCGCACATATTACAAATGCTGTGGTTTCCTGAAGTGCACATCTCACATGCCCTGGAAAGATCTTCCTAGCCACACCAGCATCCATAGAGTTGGCAGGCCATCCCAGGGTTCCCTTTCTTTGAGCACTGACAAACACAAAATGACACCTTTTCACCTAAAATAATCTCTAGATGTCAAAAGATGTTTTTGGATCTCTGTGAAGTTTATGTAAGTATCTCCAAGCAGTTCCAAAATTTATACAGTGATACAAATTATCTTCCTGGCAAACTCACATTCTTTAACTAGGAAAATGACAAGGGAGTTTGACAGAAAATTAACACTTTCCTATCCAACCTTGTAACACTTTAGAGGGTCATATTTTTAATACAGTAACATCAGCCACATATGATTGATGAACAATTGAAATGTTATGAGTACAAATGAAATGTAATAACTATAAAAAATGAGGTATTTTACATGTTGGTGTGATAATATTTGAATATATTAAGTTAAATACAATGTATAATTGAAAGTTTTTCTGCTGATCACATATCTAACCATAAAAGTGATTTGCATTATATTTCTATTGAACCAAACTATTTAGTAGATCCGAGAGGAGTACCCACTATATTCTTGATGGCTTTTTATAAGTTATAAACACAAATTCCTAACATACTTGCCCTTAGGTACTTTGCAAACTTTCAAATCCTGGTTTCTATATAACGGATAAAAGGATTTTTTAAAGAATAAGCACACTAACAACAACTATCAGAATATACTCCACATACATAAAGTATCCAGTGAGCATTAATACTTGTTTGGTAAAGCTATACATGAAAATTTGTTTCAAAGATGGCCTTCACCTTTTCATCCCAGTTAGAGCCTTCTGTTTGAGATATCTGGCATCACACATGCACAATTAGGCATGCACTTGCACATAAATACATTATACACCTATAACAAGGGCCTCATAATATCAGTCTCCCTTCTAAAAGCTATTCTCACAATGGGGGCTGAATCATCCACTAGAGGTGAGAGGCAACCAGATGGAACCAAGTCCCACAAGCTTGGCTGTGTGTTTATTTCCAGGAGCCAGAGGTTAGTGAATTAAAAAGTGTGCAGTCCTCTAGCCATGGCATCTACCTTCCTCCGGACACCCAGAAGCATGCGGGATCTGGGAGGGCCTCCTCTATGCCACGTCTGACTATGGACCCCCAGGTAAAACTCAAAACACCACATACCCTATACAGTGGCACCGCAGGCTTTATTAGGTGGGCTATGAGATACCTGGTATTTTCAGGTAAGCCCTGGACTTTCCCCTACCCCTTACCTACACAAAAAAAAAAAAAAAAAAAAAAAAAAAAAAAAAAAAAAAACCCAGCTCATGGACCATCTTTGATAAAGTCTTGTCTAGATTGTGTTTGTAATTCAGTCTCTGCCTTCAAAAGTCTAGTCAATAAAATAGTATTAACTTCTCCTGCACTGGGCTAAGCATCCTCAGGACCCAACCAGCCAACAAGCAAACGGCATTTTTCTCTATGTATTTTCCTATCCTTTGTGTTTTTTTTTATTTATTTTTTCTTTCTTTTCCCAGCCTTTTCAGCACAAGTTATTTGTACACACCACTGTATGTCAGGACTGTCATATCCAGTGCAGGCCACGCCTCATTTCTTTGTCTGTTTCCTTGGCTTCTTTGTCTGTCTTACATGAAGTCTGGACAGAGACAAGAAGGTTTTGTGGATCTGTTCTAACACCTGTGGCAATCCCAAATTTGGAGGTGGGGATGGAAGGTTAGGGTGCGGGTTGATGGCAGGAGGGTAGTTCTTTCTTAGTGGCTAAGTTCCAAATTTTCCTAGGCTAAGAGACTATAGAGAAGAAGCTTCTTATCCATTGAATAAGTAATGAAAGAGAAAGCCATGCTTCCCTAGGACTCTAACCCTTTGGAATTGCTATCACCTATTTCAAAGTGACTCACTATTTATAGCAGGTCCTGACTAAACCCCTATGGTAGATAGTTCTATGAGACATTTGCACAGTGCTTGCCCACATTCTACACAGTTAGTAGATTCATCTGCTTTTATTCATGGAAATAAGGAGACAGTTCATGTTCATGCTACGCTCAGTGATTGTTAGTTGTCCTAGGATGCTTCTTCCTGATTAGCCTATATAGCCAAGGATTTTGCAAGGGGGATTCAGGGGAGGTGCCAATTTTTCCAGGGGTTATATAGTTCACAGTCCCTAAGAGTTTCAGTCCCATGTCTGGATTTTCAGACTCTTTCAACAATTAATCCAGGCTTTATGTTCCTCTGGTTTTTTGTTTTTGTTATTTTTTGTTTTTCCTTCCAGGTGGTAACAGACCCTAGCTCTATGCGACGATCATTTTCTACAATTCGGGATAAGCGTTCAAATTCCTCATGGTTGGAGGAGTTCTCCATGGAGCGTAGCAGTGAAAATACCTATAAGTCACGGCGTAGAAGTTACCATTCCTCCCTGAGGCTGTCTGCCCACCGCCTGAATTCTGACTCTGGTGAGAGGGTCACCTGTCTCTTTTCTGAGCAACTGATGAACTTATTTTTTTCCCAAGGATCAGAAATGACTGGAACAACATGATTTAGATATAAGACCAAGGTTTAAGAAAGTTGAGAAGGGGATGGTGAATGAATGGCTCATGCATAAAGAGCTTGCTGTGTATGTGTGAGAACAGGTTTCAAATCCCTATAACTTACATAAAACTGGGGCCTGGCAATGCAAGTCTGCAATCCTAGGTCCCTTGGGCAAGATGGGCCCTGCTATTCCTGAGTATGATGCTGTCAACAGTAAAGAGACACTGTCTCAAACATGGTACAAAGCTAAGACCGGTTCCTCAGGCCTCCACATGCACACTGCGGCACACATGTGACAGCCCCACATATACACAAACTAGACAATGACAAATGCTCCCTGTCAAAGTGCTATCCTGAAACAGACCCTAGACCCTAAATAATAATTAACCAAGGTTTGCAACTAACCTTCTACAAAGCGATCAAGATTCCAGAAGAATATAGTAGAACCTCACCCCCCCCCCCCAAGGTGCTGAGCTCTGCCACCAGCTCCAGTATTACCTGGAATTCTTTCAGGTACTGGGTTTCATTTAAAACCTCTCTGTGTGTTGTACTGATTTTTTATATGTTAAGAAATCATTAGCCTCATTCTGCCTATTTCACTAGGTGCAGGAATCAAACTTGAAAACCAGTGATCTTTCTATATTGAGAGCCAGTAAATGGCAGCATTAAGACTACAAGGGAGATCTTTGACATTAAATCCCAGGGTTCTCACCCTTACATTATATTAGATGTGCCAGCATTTCATTCATAGAACCTTCTTAATTCCCTTCCTGGGGCAGGATACAGATAATTCCTGAGCTGCGTTGACGCTACTGACAGAGACACTGCTTATTTTATCTGGCATAAAAGGGATCTGAGAAAACAGATTAACACTTGTTGATGCATGCCTTCTCAGTGGTACCTTGAGGACTTACTGATCACAAAAGGGACTTTTCTACTCTTTCTCAACCATTTCCCTCTCAAGTCATCTGTTGATCTGCCTGGAGAAGTCAGGATACTTCAGACAGTTCAGGAGGTCAGAACATTCAAGATCAAGATGACAACAGTGTCTGGTGGGCCTCCCTTGTTGGCTCACAGGTGGCTAACTCCTCATCATGTCCTTACAGGGTAGACAGCAGGGACAGGAAGCCAAGTGTCTCTGGGTACTTTATTTCCTACTAAAAGGCCTTCTTTCTTGTACTGCTCAGTCACCACTCCACTGGAGGTTTAGGATTCAATCTGAATTCTGAAGGGGCACAATCAATTCACAGTGGCTCAGTCCCTGGCTGGGATAGAATTTGTGGCTTGGAGTTCAGCATCATCAGCCAGAGTGACCCAAGTAATAATAAACAGTTGAGTTTTTGTCAATCTTCACAGGCCACAAGTCTGACACTCACCGCTCAGGAGGCAGGGAGAGAGGCCGATCCAAAGAGAGAAAGCACCTACTCTCCCCTGATGTCTCTCGCTGCAACTCGGAAGAGCGAGGGACCCAGGCTGACTGGGAGTCCCCGGAGCGTCGCCAGTCCAGGTCACCCAGCGAGGGAAGGTCACAGACCCCCAACAGACAGGTGACCATGGGGAAGTTGAGCCTCTAGCAGGTCAGGGAAGAGTGGATTCTGTGCTAGGAAGGCTTCTAGGAGCTCAGAGCCCGATGTTTACGAGAAATAACTACTATGCACAGAGGATGGCTGTTCTGTGCTTGGAGATTCAGAGGTAACAGAAACTCACAAGAAGCAAGATGCCCCCCACCCCAAGAAAGACAATAGCTGCAAGTCAGTCCATGCCTGTCCTTGGAATCTGGATATACAAATTCAGCTAGATTTAGGAAATAAAGACAGTCCTTCAGCCAAAAAGGTTTGGCTCTGGTGTGATCCTATTATTAAGTGTAATGATTCAAGGCAGGATTTGTGAGTCAGATGGAACAACTTTGTTTACCTACTGTGCAGCCATCTCAAGAGATGGAGTATTCTTTGTATGTTCCTCTCTCCCAGTCTAGCCCTGGAGGGGAGTTCATGGAGTTCAAAGGGGAGACTCCTTTAGAAATGGCTAGCCAGGAACAAGAGAGCTCCTGAAGCAATTCTGAGACATAGCAGTAGTAGACATTTACCTAGGGAACAGTATTTCCACATAGCATTGCTGTTGAGCCAGCCCTGTGGTTTGCTAGCACAGCAAACTCCTGGGACTTTAAAGATTACAAAGCCAAAGCCGGAATTCTACATCAGAAAGAACTCCACCCAGAAGGTTCTCACAAGTTGCCCACAGGTCTCACAGACCAGTGCTGGAATCTATTTGCCAATTTCTGGGCTCACGTACTATTGGAAAATAGGCAAGGAAGGCAGGTGAGGGCTGAGACAAGTGACAATGTGCAGTGTGTTAAGCCACTGCTGACAGAAGCAAGAAGGAAAGAGAATTTACGTTTCCTTCTAATTTATTTCCCAAAACAGTTTCCCAGACAGCAAATCTGAGCATTCATTTCAGTCACCTTTCAGGGAGCTGTTTTGCCTAGGAATTTAAGGTATTCCTATATGCCCTTGTTATATACAATTGCCATCTCCTGACTAGCCACCTGGGTGTTTTATAGTCATAGATGTAAGTGACACCAATGCCATAGCCTTGCCCTTCTAAGCCTGCATCAGTAATTGAACTTTATTCCAGAAATTAGTCTACACTGAGAAGTTGAAATTCTCTGGTCTAGATGGTATCTAATTCACTATTGACTTGACCCCTGAGTCCTTGGAAGGTTATGAGCAGCACAAGGGACTAGCTCACAGACCCACTCCAGAGACTCAATGAGCTTTCTTCATGAGGGCTTGGGACAGCAAGAGGGCCCCAAGTGGAGGTGCCACTATGCCCCCATCTAATATGTCCTGTTTCTCCTGTGATGCAGGGCACTGGTTCCCTGAGTGAGAGCTCCATTCCCTCTATCTCTGACACCAGCACCCCAAGACGAAGTCGTCGCCAGCTCCCACCTGTGCCACCAAAGCCTCGGCCCCTCCTCTCCTACAGCTCCCTGATGAGACACACTGGTGGCATCTCTCCACCTCCTGATGGAAGTGAGGGAGGTTCCCCACTGGCCTCTCAAGCCCTGGAGAGCAACAGCGCTTGCCTGACCGAGTCTTCCAACTCCTTGCACCCCCAGCGGGACCAGCATCCTTCCCCACAGCACTACATCTCCGAGCCCTACCTGGCCCTCCATGAAGACTCCCACGCCTCAGACTGTGGCGAGGAGGAGACACTCACCTTTGAGGCAGCCGTGGCTACTAGCTTGGGCAGGTCCAACACCATTGGCTCTGCCCCACCCCTGCGGCACAGCTGGCAGATGCCTAATGGGCACTATCGGCGGCGGAGGCGTGGGGGACCTGGGCCTGGCATGATGTGTGGAGCTGTCAGTGACCTCCTGAGTGACACGGAAGAAGACGATAAGTGCTAGAGGCTGCCAACCCCTCCGATGCATGCTCTTCTCTCACAGGGAGAAAACCAAGACCAAATTGGGAAGCCAGTGCGGCCCGGGGGGGAGGAAGAGGGAGAAGGAAGATGGAAAATGGACGCCATGCATCCTCGGAGAAGAGGAAGTAAAAGACAGATGGAAAACCAGTCAAACCCACCAATTTGCATTATTTCCCCTTTGCAAGATGGGCACTGCCACAGTCCCGCCTCTTTGCTGGGGAAAGAAAATACAAGGATGTGGGGGGTTGTTCCCATGGGAGAAGGGGCATGAAGGTGGCTTGGCTTCCCTTGCCCCTTCCCACTTTTCTATAAGCTGCAGCGGGATCTAGCTGCCCTGTGTCTGAGCTCATCACCCTGAGCAGCTGGGAAGACTTCCCCAGCATCTTCACGTGGGAAGAGTGGAGACAGGAGGAGGAGAATCTCAGCACCAGCTCTTGCATTTTGGCTGCCCTCAGGGCAACTGCAGCAGCATTTCATGCATTTTCTTGGGGCTTGCTTCACCCCAAAGAGACACATGCTAAGTCAGGAGCCACTGGATGCTGATGGAAGGAGGGAGGGAGGGGGAGAAGGGCCAGAGTAGAAGGGCCCAAGGTGCTGTGGCAACAACAGCAAGGGCTGGTCTGGGTGAGAAAAGCCATAGCACAGCAGCCCATACCATGAAGGTGAGGGCCAGAGAAACAGACCTGGAGTTGCTGGTGGGTGCAGTCATAGACCCTGAGGTCAGTCACCCACACAGTAGGTGCTGTGATAGGTAGGCTAGGTACAGATGTTCCCCAGGGCCCATAAAGGTGCCTGTAGCTCTGGTAAGGGTAATATTAACTCCAATAGCCAGGGCACCAACCACAGTGTGAGAACCCCATGCAGTTCTCAGCCTTGGCCCCTTAGATACCAGGCAGAGGGGACCCCCAATGGTAAGGGCAAGGTGCAGATGGAGACCTAAGGGAACCTAGGCAGACTCAGTTTTCCAACAAGTGTAGGAGGACCTCAGTATTGGTGACATGGCTGTGACCACAGTAGGCTGAAGGCAGCAAGACTAGTGCTAAGCCAAGCCCACAAGGGTCAAGTATCAACAGCTAAGTGTTCTCTGCCACTTCCCCAAATGGACAGTGCACACATATCCAAGGAGGCCACTGTGTAGTGACTTCTCTAAAGATGAAAAGGACAGGAGAATGTTCCCTAAGGAATTCATGCTGAGGAACCATTGTGAGGAGAAATCCTTGGGCCTGAAGCTTGTGTAGCTGGTTTGGGGTTTGGGGAATCAGTTGATGAGGACACTTTAAGCTCATTAGTAACAATACCTCAGTTTTGACCTTGGTTGCTTTTAGTAAAATAGGCTCTGACGGGGGCCCAACTTTCTCGAGTGTTCCCTGGGCCAGGGCTGGACTTCATCCCTTCCCCAGAGTAAAAGATGAGTGGAAGACAGCCTCAGGCCACTAAGTCATTCCTTCTCCCCAAACAGAAGCAGGGAGGGGAACTAGGACCCTCCTTCAGTCATTTACATAAATAATGCAGTGGAGAGCTCCATTCTGTAGGACACATCACCCCTTAAGCCTCTCTCCAGTATCATCTGAGCTGAACAGGTATCTTGGAGCTGGGTGTGAATAGGACTGCCCTCTCTAGCTTCATCACATGGCCCTCTCTCCAGTGAGACTGAGGACATCACACTGAGAGCTCAGTGATCAGTTCTTTGTCCCCTTCCATCCTAGGCAGAGTCCTCTGAGACTCTTAGGAACTTCTCTTTTCTTATGATGTTTCCTTTCTATCCTTCTGCCCCTTTCTTCCTAACCCTGAGCTGTCACAGGAATAAGGCATAACATCAGCTCTGAAAAAAGCCCAAGTTCACCCACGTGGCTGCAAACATCTGCCACAGTCCCACCTTCTCTTTTGAGTGTCGATGGAGCTTCATGAACCATTGTCAGCCCCAAACCAAAGTGGTCCCAGGACAGGTGACCAATGAGGCAGACATGAGGCCTGCCAACCCTCAGATCCTCTTCCACCTTCATTGTCCTCTCCCTCTCGGCACATGTGTGCTCAAGGGCAGCTGAGAATATGAGCATGATCCTAACAGATGCGATTGTTACTTAAGACTGATGCTGGGCCTTGTGATGTTTTAAAGGTTTTCTCTGCTCAGCCTCATTCCATGCCAAAGTGCTGCCATGGGCCTCCTTGTGTGCACAAAATTGCTTTCCTCTACCTTGGACATGCAGCTTTCCTTAGGGGAAAACCTGCAACAGGATGACCATTCTGAGCCAGCAAGCCTGTTGGATGGTGTTTGAGAAATTCAATTGTAGAGCTATATCATTGCCATCCAAATAGTGGGAGAATTGTGGGCCGGCAGCACAATGATGACATACAGAATTTGCCTGCAAAGAATAGTATTATCACTAAATTTACTATGCCTGAAATGTCCCATACTCCTGAACTCCTTGAACACACACACACACACACTAAATGAAGCATTTAAAGTTATAAAGTACTGTAGGTATGGTCACTTGACTGACCACATGCTTTTATTTTTTTTTTCTAGCACTGATGAAATTATAAACATATTTCTTTATTCATCTTACCTTGGGTTTCTTTTCCCTTAGACAAGTCTTACCCTTCATCAAGCTTAGAACATAAAAGAACTTTGGTTAAACCACAGACTCATTATTATCATTATCTCTGGTTTCCTACTGCCTCCTAATAAACTCAAATGCAACCTTCTCCCTTGTAGCTGACCAAGGCTTCCCTTCCTATGGATCAGAGTCTGTGTTTCTATGAAAGGAAGCTGCTTTCTCAGAGCCCATACTTCTCTTTGCATCTTCTGCTACATAGAATGACTTTTTGGGTACAGAAAGTCTTCTTTCAGAATTCTTTAGTCAGATGTCTCATCACCTTGCAAAAACATTGGTCTTCATCATCTCAAAGCAAGAGAGAAGAGGACATTACAAAAAGAAAAGAAGCCAGGCAGGGAAGTGGTGTTTTGGGAGACCTTTTTGCTTAAAGTTCCAGACAGCTTGTCACATCCTACCTTGACATCTGCAGGAGAGTACAGCGGGATTCAACATGATAGATGGTCCAGGCCATGGTGCTCCGTGTGTCAGGAAAGTCACCTGCCCATGAAGGGATGGGACCCTCTAGTATCCACCAGCATCCACATGAACCATGCTGGCAGTTTCCCAGGGGGGAGGGTTATACCACATTTATAGTTGAGAAATCTTTTTATGGCAGACTTCATTTCTTCCTGCTTGTTCCCCACATTGAGGGCACCACATGTGTTTCCCTGAAGCTGATTACAGAGGTTCTGAATTTGTCCCTCCCTTCACTCTGAGGCCCAGACAAAGATACTCCATATTCCAGTCTCCAGTCTTCATCTGCCCTTCCCATCTGCATCTATACCTCGACCACCACAGATGCCAGGTGTGAACTGGAGTGTCCTCTGGTATCCTCATCCCACTCTTCATTTTGCTGCATGTTAGTACATCCTGAGATGGTTAAATCCAGCTTATGCAATGGAGTAACTGTCTCTGCCATGCTGTTAGGAAATGCTCCTTCTAATGAAGCAATGTCTGGAGATCACCAGATGATCCTCACACCAGACCATTTCAAGGGAAGCGCAAAGTGTGCATGAAATGTCCATGCATTTAATGCAAACTCATTAGAGAGAAATCAGGTCTCTTTGGCATAGAAGAACAAAATAGTCAATCTCATTTTTTCGTTTTATCTCTTTCTGAAGCCTGTAATGTATGCTTCATTTATGGATAGAATATTTATGTGGGTGGCACAAGGAGATGTTGGGAACTTTCTCAGCTCAGAACACTGGAAAAAATCAAGTTCTATGTAAAATGAAAAGGTGGACAGTGGAAGGGAATCAGATTGTCCTCCCCCAGCCTATGTGTCCTTTCCTCCTGGCCCCCAGAGCATTGCATGCTGTCCAGGACAAGCAGGGGGATACTGTGAGGTAGGTAGGCATGCAAGCAGAAGAAGGTCAACTGACCTCTCGAAAGTGGCCAGTCACAGCATGATGGATTGACACTAGATGAGAACTCCTAAGGAATCCAGTTCAGATGACTTCTCTTAAAATAACTCTACATGGAGAGCCTTCTTTTAACCAAAGCCAAACAAAATTAACTTTGGGGTTATGACCTAACTTGTCTGTGAATGTGATCAAAGGCAGCCCCACGTTATTAAGTGCTATGTGCACCAGCATTTTTTCCTCTCTGAACCATTCTGAACATCATAGCCAGGTCTGTCCCACACAGAGCAGCAGCTGATACCTTCTCTGCTGGCCAAAGACTGAGAATTTTGTCATCTGTCACTTGCTACACCAATAGTACATAGATGCACTGCATAGGGAAAAGGTCTGAACAAAATTCTGTTTGCTTTCTGGTGCCATCTTTTTCTTTCCTTGAATCTTTTTCGTGTTTCTGCCACATAATTGATTTGGCCTATGTTGGGTGTCTCCCAGAGAGGACCACACCAAGAATAACAAATTCACAAAATTCACAAATTGTTCCAACCTATCCCAAGGGCCTAGAAAGCACATCTGAGCATAGTTCAAGTCATTTCATTGAATGGGGACTGCAATAAAAGTCTAATACGGTTTCTGGTAAGGTCTGCACCTCCTTCTATTTTTAATAGGTTTCTTTCCACCCACACACTCCTATCATGTTAAGTATTGGAGGGTTAGTGTCCTGACCTTCTAGATGCAAAAAGAGACTGTAATAAGCCATGCTACTACAATGTAAATACATTCTTCAGTTTCAAGTTCTTGTTTATGGAGTTTTGAAAAAGTTGGGTAAATGAAATAGAATGAAGTATTGAGATTAATGCTTATTTTTATCTCTTTGATAGTTTTTGTTTTATTGATTGTCCATGTGTTTTGTAACAGGCCCACTCTAGGACAGCAAAGAAGGATAAATATGTGTTCTACAGTGCTCTGAATCTGCTTCTTTTCTACAATTAATTTCTGTCAAATTAATGTTAGGATAATTGAGTCAAAAATCTGGTTACTGTTTCCTCCCATCTCTATTCCTGCCCCCAACCCTTCTGTCTTGTTAAATGGCCTTGGACTCCCCTCTCTGCATATTCTGCCTCTCCTCTTTCAAAAGGTCTGAAAATATAACCTACATTTATGAAAAAATGCCTTCCCCATCAAATCAGTC